AAAACTCTATCGATTTATCTGGGTCTGAATTCAAAGTTCCAAGATAAGTAGACTACCCCTCCCTGGTTAGTGTCTTTTTGTCACGCTCCTAGGATGACCTCGGCTAGATCTCCATTCTAGTCTCTCTGGAGGGAATGTATACCAACAGATGGTATCCTAACTGTATAAAAATGATAACTATTCATGGATAATAACACGAAGCATTTTTGTATCAAGGGCAGAGGTTCTGTGGGCACTTCTCACACGCATGGTCGCGGGTTCGAATCCGTATCAATATCTCCCTGGGCCAACCAAGCTTTCTATCCCTCCGGTGTCGGTTAATTGGTACCAAACTCGTATGGGAGGATGAAAGCCCTGACTTGGGAAATGGCTGGCCACCGCAAGTCATAGTATAGGCCTCATACGCATTCATTACGCTACTCGATTCTGAATGGAAGTCGAAGTCGTGGGCGCATCCCTTTGACGGGATTTAATAACACCTAAAAAGTTAATCTTTCGTCCATTATTATTTGTATCTGAGTAGCAGATTATGTTTTGTTCAGAAATTCTCTATTCCTCATGGTGACCGACTCGATGTATTTATCGAAAATACCTCCGTATGACGAAACGCAAACTTGTGAAAAAATCTCATGCTCGCATTTTCTATATCCAAACGGTAACTCGTAATTTTTCGTTCCAAAAAGAAACACAAGCACGAAACTTTCCAATTTTTGTCGAGTGAAATTGAGTAAAGGAGATGGGAAGTGGAATGTCTTTCTTGATATTCGTATTGGAGGTAATTGTGGACGTGAATGGTAGGTTAAATTTAGCTAAATATAGCCTTGTTGGTTTGTCGAGCCTTCAAACATATGGGAAAGTAGATTTCAAATTGCGAGTAGTAAAGCCAGGCAAAAGTAGTTTAAAAAGCTCTGAATTAGCTTGGGGGACTTGAGGGATTCGCGGGAGAGAATCGGTGGTCGTAGAAGTGCTTCGTATTATCACCCTTAACTACTAAGCCTATTTCTTGAGAAGAAATCAATATCGCACGAGATAACACGAATTCATGCGAGGAATCCTTAGTTACGCTGTTGTTGCGTGAATGTGGTGCCTGAAAAGATTCGAGAGTAAGATGGGCTACAGATATTGGCTTTGGAAAAAGCAACGATCCATGAAGAAAAAGCTTATTTTCAAATTTTCTCTCAGAACTTTCCTAGACGGTCAACGCGACAGTAGAATTGTGCGCTCTTTATTTTGTGGTGGAAAGATTGGTTCGCATATCATCTATGTTTTCTTTTACAAAAATATCTGATAAAGTTACTCAAGATTAGACTCAACTTGAGTCCTCCACCCAGGTAGTTTAGGAGGAGTACGGGGTTTATCAATAAAGCGGTGGCTGTAAATTGAAAGCCTCCAGCTCCTTGATTCCGGGTTTTTCCAATTCAGAAACAGACGGCTCGTTATCGAAGGGTTACGTGAAATCTGACAGATGAGCACAGCGCCTATTTTTTCAGCAAGGACGTATAGTGAACTCAACGGCAGGCTTGCGCAACCTTGCACCCAGGCAACAATCCACTACAACTGATATGATGAGAATGGTTGGATCTATTCCACAAGGTTAGTTACAGAGTCAATTTCGGTGTAACGACTGTTCTTAGTTCTTTCAGATTCTCACTATTGCCTAAATTGTTTCGCCTTCTTTATAGCTACGTATCAAATGTACCAATGAATGCTTGTATCAAAAGTAACTATGAATGCGTTGTAATTTCCTCTGCTCCATCCTTATTTAACATCTGTAAGGAGCGTCTCTTGCTTGGCGTAAAAGAAGAGTTTTTTCGATTCAGCGTCTGGGCTCACTTCGCCCATTCACTCCACTCAGTCGGATATCGGGAAATGATCTTTCTTCGTTTTCTCTGGCATAATTCTTGATCATTTGAGATTTGCTTATCAGCTCGCATTAATTCATATTTATTTATTTATTTATTTAAAATACACTCATTAGAGTGTGCCCGAGTAAGGCGGAAAGCGGAAAGCAACACAACTAGGAAAGAAGAAAACCAGCGCCTTACATATTGGAAACTAAAGAAAAAAAACATAAATAGAAAACAGAAACAGAACAACACAGGAAAGTCCAAGTCAAATCGTAGGCAGAATGTAGCACCGAATAGATGGTTAATGGTCAGTGATCCACACATGACTCACGATAATGTACCAGATAAGGCAGATCTTCAAGCAAATCCTCGGTCACAGGTGGTAGATACTCTTCAAGCTCAAAGGCTACCTGGCACGGTCTGTTCAGATGAGACGGAAGAAAGCACAGCACACACTTGTCCCCTGATAGTGACAAGAGATCAGTGAAGTGGTGGATGGCGCTAGGGATAACGCCACATATCATTAGACCGGGATCTAATGAAGTCTGTATCTATCAGAAGTATGAAGCACTATTCTGCTCAAGAATGCTACCGTTCAAGGTACGTCAGCGCCTCGTCAATTGCAAAGTCAACAGCAAGCTCAAATGAGAAACACGCAGGGAACTACACAAATGGTCCAGTTGCATCAGGTTCAGCAAGTTCCCGTAACAGGCCGCGTTATTGCGATGAATTCAATGCAGGTACTCGCTCCAATGTTGCTAGATTCAAATTTTTAGTTTCCTTACTCTTTGGAATCGCTTCTTAAGAAGTTGTTTGTTAAGGCGCCGCAACAATTGATTCCTGTTCCGATGCGCATGGTTTCCAATGGTGGATCGATAAGTGACGGCCAGCAAGCTCCTGGTATGGTTTCTATCTCTTTGTAAATGCTAGTTTTATATCTTTTTTATACACTATCTGGTTTCGAACATCTTGTTCTTTCACCATGATATATAAAATTCCTACCCACTTATTTGTTCTTGATCACTGCTGCTTTTACTCAGGGATTGCACGCTATTAAGAATTTCAAAATTAAACCCCAACATGTGCCATTTCGCATTGTCGGTTGTACGGGCACTGGAAAGAAATTGATTCGCTTAATGAGCTTTGGGAGGATTTAGGTGTGCTCAGTGAAAGCTTGCCAGCTTGGTCATGCTTTCTGCTACTTTAGCGATGGTGCCATTGAAATTGCCTAACTTCATGTCATGTGCACGTGCGCTTGTGAAAGAGAGTGCTCTGTTGCTAGCTAGGCCACTACTTTATTGATTTGGTGTTTTTGGCTTAGTCAAGTGAATATTCCTTCAACCGTCGTTCAACCTTTGGAAAATAGTTTGTGGCTCGAACTAATTCTTATGAGCTCCTCTATCGCAAGTCGTGTAAATTTCACCAGTTCACTAATCCACTATTATTCTGGTATTTCACCCACGTTCCCTGAAAGCATTAACATTACCTCTCCTCCCGGAAAGTGTCGGTACTTGTAATGATGAAATTATCTAGCTGCAGTCATTAAATTGTGTGATTCAGGTTCGATTCAACTTATGCCACAGTTTCTGCCAGCAAACGCTAGAATCGGACAAAATATCAGGTTTATGCCACGTGAGTTGATGTACCAACTGTCATACGTAGTCGTCGCAGATCGAGTTGAGGATGTTACTAGGGCAAGACGCCGTCGTTCAGTCGTTTAGGATGAGCTTAGTTTTTTGTCGTACACATACCTGTTTCGAGTTACCAAGCGAGTTTTATTGCAAGATTGCGTGTGGTAGCTGTGGACTTAGCCATGGACTTGCTCTGTGATGGCTACTACAATTGCCTCATTTATTATAGATTTTTTGAGCTTTTTTAGATCCTTCGGAAGCCTCAAATGCTCAGGGTATGGTTTCCCAACAAGCGGCAATGGTTATTACATATTCATATATTTTTCTGAATAATACATACATATTAAAGCGGCTTAAAAAAGCCGCCCACAATTTGCTAATGTTTTCGCTTTAAGTTTCAGAATGCTATGCGAACAAGCAACACTGCTCTGATGGTTGTTCAAGGTCCGAATGGGCCTATGGTTCTTAATACTTCGACCATGCACCGTGAGTTGAAATGTTTTGACGTTTTCTCAGATGCCCTTCAATGAAATGACGTCATCATCAAATGCACTCTAGTGTTCTGCGTTGGATGCATTCCCTTCTTTAAAGGACTCGCACCCTCTAACTTTGATTTTTAGCAAACTCTTCTTTTTCATTTTTTGTCGGCCTCTGTTGAAAATGTGGCTTTTTTTCTTCCCACAACATGCAAAAATCGATATCCCTCTTGTACCTTAAGGTATAAAGTCGCAAGACTATTGAAAGAAAATTGTACTTAGTAGTAAGCTACAAAAGTGCTGCCCTTGCTGACGTATCGCTCTCAATTGATTGTGCCCGTGGCAAAAAGCTGGCGCGCCTGTTTGAGCATCTAACAAAAAGGCCTGGTTGGTATTCATCCCTAGTGAAATTAGATAGTATCTTGCCATGTTTAGCCAATAGTGTATCAAAAAAGGCTTTTTCAGCGGGATATATTCCTCAGAATCTTGTGCAAGTGCAGATTGCTCAAGGGATTCAGGGCATGCAAACCATGCAGCAAGTTCATCGCCAGCAACAACAGCAGCAACAGCAGCAACAACAACAACAGCAAGTACAGCAACATGGTGTAAGTGTTAGCATATTTCTTATAGTTTGTTGGTATTCCTGAATAGTTGTGAAGGATATAAGATTTATTTTGTGTTGGGCCTTCCAGTGGTGTACCGTTTAGAAGTCTATGGCAAGTCGCTGTAAAAAACGCCGTCCTGAAAGCGGGTCTGGTGAGATGAGTGTAGGCGAATACCTTGCATTAGGAATGGACGAAAAAGGTCGGGCTGATAGCAGCTCATGTGGTACTGATAGCCCAGATACCGCAGGAGATGCACCACCCGCTTTGGACAGAGGTATGTCAAACTCCCTGAGCTTCTCTGTATCAGCCTGAGCCTTAAGTAGAATTTTTTTGCAGTTCATGTGATAAAACGATCGTTCTTGATAGATTTTCCATATGCGACCTTTGTGTTCTTAGGTGATTCTATCGATGACTCATCACCGCAACCACCCATTGATTCCACGAAATCGGTGGAAGCAATATTTATTCGTGAAGCATTAGCGTTCCGCGCAAGAGGCGGAGGGTGTGGAAAGCCCCTTGTTCATTACATGGATGGTTTTACGATTGAGGTTGGCACCCAGAGAAATGTATCGATTTCATGTTTTCAATATAGACACTATATTTACTTGTATGGTTACATTTTTCTTTGATTTTGGTGTATGACCAGGAATCTGACGTCCCGTTTCCATTAGCTCAATACGACAAACTTACTGAGCTCGTGTCATCGGATGTTCTAGACGATATCATGCCAATGATAGCAGATATCGATGTCAAGACCAAGGCTGACACAAAAGGTGGGAAATACATATTTATTTTTGTTTCTCTTTTACGTTTTTTGTGGTTTTCTGGTTTGGTATTACCCTCCGAAAAAGTTTAGCTACTTGAAGTTCCTATGAACTTTCATTTTGGATCGGGTTTTACTCTTTACTTCTACCGAAGCTTCACTTGTTGCATTGCCATCACGTTATTGTTTAGGATATTTCTAATAAATGCGGTTCTGCTCATTTATGATTTCCAGCTCCACGTGGAAAAAATAGTCCGCCAACGAAGCAAGCTGCACCTGTAGAAGAGCCAGAGAAAGAGCACAAAAGAAAAGTACCATCTCGCACGCGTCGGTCAACTGCAGCACAAAATGAAGCGCCTGCTGTAATTCCAAAGAAGGAAGAAGTTCAAGAAGAAGAAATACCAGAGGATCTTAATGAAGAGCGTAAACAACCTAAGGTTTTATGGGCTTCATTCCCATTCTCTTCAAAAGCTTTAGCTATGTAGCCAAATAGCTGTTGTAATATTTCGCACTTGAGAGTTCTCGAAAAGGGGTACAAGTAATTCTTGCATGGTTGCCGCTACTGCTTCGTGATGCACATCCATGATGATTGTGTCTGACTTTCGCATTTTAGAACCGCCGGCCGGGTTCTGCTACTCATCCTCCGCGAAGGCGAACAAATGAGTTAGAATTACTCTTGAATATGGACTTTGGGCCGAAGGATGCTGGCCGACGTATACTCGATACCGAGAAACGAAAAAGTGTTCTGGAAAAGGAAAAACGGAATTCATCCGAAACTGGTGAAGAACACGCGGAAACATCGGACAAGTCTCGCTCTAGGCAGAAGCGCAGGAGTACACACTCAACTACTTCTGAAAGTCCGGCAAAGTCGGAACGTCCACGATCGTCGGTAGAATCTGTCGAGCCGACTAGACGCAGTTAGTTTTTCTTGTACATCTTTTACTTTTTATCGGAAATTATTAAATTATTGTTTTCTTTAAAACGTGTGCGCTTGGGGCTAGTCAAAGTAGGCAGAAGGCTTTGATAAACGGCTCAATTTCAATTCACGCATTTTTGGCGAGAGTCGATCGGTAATCAGGTCATCGGGTCGCTTATAATGTCCGTATATGGTTCGGTCTATTCGGTCTCGTGGTTTTCAGAATAGGTGGTCTTTTTTTTTAGTTCGGAAATTGTTAGCTCGTAAAGGCGGTTTCAGCCATTGTGGTACTTGCTTCATTTGTTAAAATGCGGATTGATAATACATAGCAGTACGCGGTGTATGTGGAATTTATCTCTAACTCGAATTATTTTCATTTTTTTNTTTTTTTCTTTGTTTTCAACAATGCAATATTTCATTTGTTTGTTGAGCTCTATGGTAGACTCTCAATTCAATTCCAGGTAGTGGAAGACATGATAGACGAAAAGAGAAAGAAAGGGAGAAAGAGAAAGAAAAAGAGAAAGAAAAAGAAAAGGAAAAGGAAATAGTCCGTAGTACTCCGACGGTGAGCGCACGCATATTGCCACATATTGAAGACTCACCGGAAGACCGCTGTCTGTATTGCCAAGTTTCTTTCAAGGAGGTGAGTTTTTGCAGTTTTTTCAAAATTTTTCATCAATATTTTATTGTTTTTTTCATTTATAGAGTGTAATTTTTACCTCTGCTACCATGTTTTTCAACAGGCGTTCATTTCCAGAAGGAGCGCTCCGCTTCAACCCCTCAGTATTGCTCAACAAAGTGTCGCCGAGCATATCAGTCGCTGATGGCTAGCGAGAAGAACAACAGAAAGTTTTGTAAGTTCATGCTATATTAATTTGAACGTACCTACAACTACGTTGTACTTGGGTTGTGTTCCGTAATTTGTATTTATGAGGGTTTGTTCTACAATTTCGATTTGTAGCTGAAAGTATGAAGCGAGTATCAGGTGGTGGCTCTGAAGGTACAATATCATCATCTTCAAGTGTTTATGATAGTAGGTTGTTCGTTATTGACAGCAGTACCTATATTCTCTGAGGGCTGACCAAGTGGTTGTCTTTTTCAGTGCGAGCAAAGATGGAGGAAGACCACACGCCGCCTTCAGTGTCAAAACCGAAGAAATTCGAAGAGCCGTCACCATCAAAGAAGGTCGTAAAAGAGGTTAGAGTTTTGCATTGCTGACTATGCAATGCTGGTTTTTTTTTCATTTTGTTTTCAGAACTTTTTGAACAAAGATGTTTTTTTCTTCCAGGTGCAGCTTCAAACACCTAAGGTGCAGTCAACAATGAATTCTCCTACGATGCTCATTGAACCACCACAGATTACGGAGCCACCACCGACTGTAGCGACACCGGTTGCGGTATCGTGTGGACCTCTTAATGTTCAAGGTGTTGACTACGATGTTGATCCGAAGCTTTGGACGGTATGTTTCATGTTTGTGAATGTTTTGAGAGTATTGGGTAAGCAGTAATTACTATGGGGATGCTTGAGAGTGCTAGTGATGAGGCCTTTTTCGAAGCGGGTCATTTCAATTCTTGGTGAGGAGCGTAAAGGTAGGCTTTCAGGAATTTTTAGAATTACAAATATATCTTCAAGAAGATACCTGTGACTACGACTTCACGCTCTTACCACTGCACTCTGTCCTCATTTCACTTACAGATGTAAGCCAGTAACTTTCAGCCTGATGTAGCAGCCCGCTGGGCGCAAGCAGTGACGGGTTCTGAAACGTGTGCAGCGACATTCTTGCGAGAAGATGTCGACGGAGACGCCATGTTGATGATGGGTTTCGACGATTTACGCAGTCACCTTTCGTTTACATTCGGTCCAGCAAAAAAACTTCATCTTGCTATCGAGCAACTAAAGGTTTTCCGTGATCAACGATATGGTACACCGTAGATTTTCTTCTGCAATACTCGATGTGATTCAATGTTATGTAACCGATCTCTTGAGCTTTTCTCAAGGCTAAACATACATAATAACATCTGGCTGCTCTCGTTTTATCTTTGATAACGCAAGCATAGCTGCATTTGTTAAGAATAATCTATATAAAATTTTGCAGTTAATAATATGTTGTAAGTTTTATGAACTATGTATAATGATTCACAGACCATTTGCTACACTTCTGCTAGACATTCAAGATGTTGTTTTCGGCTATTAACACACCATCAGTTGTACATCTATAAGTTATTCGATAAAACATTTTATCTGTCGGTCACAACATTAATTACAAACCCGTTGAAGAAACAATGTATGCAATGCAAAAAAGTAATTCTAATTTCCTATCAAAAATGTAATTTTTGATAGGAAAACCATGGCATGGACTTGGAAAAGAACTTGCTGCTAACCAACTTATACATAATACAAAACTACCCGTATTTAATTTATTGCCAGATCACACGATTGAATAGCAAAAGCCAACCATAACAACCCGATTGCATATGAGGAATGTATTATGCGATTTTGCCAGAAAAGAATGCATCTGGGACATTTCCTAGAACAAAAAGGCAAACAACCTGAATTTTGTACTTCACGAGCCAAAGGATTTGGTAAGAAAAAGCTTTGTCTTAAAGCAAAAACAGCAAAAAACGGAAAAGGGTTATTCAGAAACCTAATGGAACTATGACTTATGTACAATCGAACTAATCCTCAATTTCGACTTTTGGTGCCTTGGCACCCGGCTCAATCTTTGGTGCAACCATAGCTTCCTGAATGCCAAGAAATTGATGATGAAGGTATTTTCAATCATTCTAGACAAGTATAAGACAATATCGGGCTCACCGTAGTCATAACACGTGATGGCTCCAGTATTGGATTGGATATGCAAAATGCTGATGTCGAAATATCTGCATTTTTAACAATGTCTACAACCATTGAAAGGTGGTCGTTTACTTGTTGATCTGGTACATCTGACAGCTCTAGCAGTTTTGAACGCAAAGCAGAAACAGCCTGTAAAAATCAAGATAGGTAATCTCTAGCTTTCTTTACCACGTACCTCATCTTATAGATCTAATTAGTAAAGAACTTTTGTAACTACTATTGAAAAGATGGTCATTTTCAGCTGTACGACATGACATTGTTAAAGATGTTTTGTTCTAACAAGCTTTGGAGCTTACCGTATCAAAAACTCGAAGTAGTTCCTTGTTCGACTGCAGTATATTGGAGAGTGTTTCCAAAGGATGTGGTATAAGCTCTTCGATTTTCCCATCAGCGTTCCCGAAAAGCTCTCCGTGCCCGCAATGAGTTTTGCAGTACTCTACTTCGAACGTATTTCCCCATTCGATAACCTACAAAACGTAAAATCAAAACTCAGCAGAAAGATTACAGAGTGGGTCAAACCTCCATGAAAGCAGTGCAGCAAGTGACATTCTTCTTTGTTCTCGATCGCCTTGGAGCGAAATTCTTTTTCCGTAGAGTCCTATTACAGCGATAATGCTGTACTTTTTTATTACCGAATGTCTTCGTACTCACTATCACCAATTTTGGGTTGTTTTTTTCATCGGTTTTGGACCGCCATTCCTACAGGATTCTATTGCATTACAGAAGTCGATTAATCGAAGAAAAAAATAGGCACACCTCATAGGAATCTCTGTCGTTGAAAAAAGTTTTCTCTATTTTATAGTCGTCAGGACGCGCAGAATGTACAAGACTCCAGTGCTCCACGAGATTACGTTGAATCTGCAAGATTCACTGTATTGATTGGAGATTCTCACGCTGCCTCCAATTCTCATCAGAATCAAACGTTGTTCAATTAAGCAGTAGAGAAAAGGAATAGGAGCAAACGGTAGAGGTGTTTCACGATTTTTGGGTGCTGCGTACACTCGTCACATACCAGAATGCTTGTTACACTTGCCGTAACCGCGATGGCGCTACTTGACCCATACCCGGAAAATATACCTTTGCGAGGTGAATACAAAGAGGCCCCAGCTCGATTAGTTAATTCGGTTCAAGGCGCAGTCTGGTATATTCCGAGTCAGAGAGTTGATGGCATTCAATGATAGAACATCAATGCATCTCATCCCGTCAACTAGCCGCATCATGGCAGTAAGCTCTAGTTACAGCCAGTCGCATTCATGGTACCCCCTTTCTAACGCCGACGTCTGGGGCCCGATGTTGATCGATACCTCGAAAATCGATGTCTGTGTCACTGAAGCGGATATCTGCATCAGAACGCACGTACTATGAATGTACCCACAGATTTTAAGATTTTAATGAGCGCCGCTCACGTAAGAGCGTCAATCGTCAAGGGCCAACGCTCGATGCTCTTGCGTCAAAAGCCCTTGAACTTCTAACCTGAAAGATGTCAATCATTTGCAGCCATGACCGCAATTCAAAAAAAAAACAATGAGAGCTGATGATTTTACCTTCACTTCTTCTCCACAAAGCGGGCATACCAGACCTCTCCGTATCTCATTGGAAATGGCATCGCTATGTTTCCTCACTAAATGCTTCGTGAGAGAATCTCGTTTTGAGTACGGTAGACCACATAGATAGCATGTAAATAGTTTTGAATCCGAGCAATTAGCCAAAACTTTATCCTGACGCTTCCTCTCTTTGAATCGTTCTATAGCATCTTTACTGTAAGAATGGGCATAGAATAGATGCGAGTAGACTTTCGTTCCTTTGTCAACACCACATTCGGGGCATACAATCGCCATACCTGAAAAGAGATTGATAATTGTGAGAAATTGACCCATGGTGAAGTGGAATCAAACGAGCGGTACTGGAATCTGTGCTGGTAATTGAAATTGCTATAAAGCGCGTAAAATCAATAATTTTCTAAAAAGACTCAGACACGCTTGTCCCAAGTGCATACAATTAATATTGGGTGAAAATGAAGTAAAGCGAATGTTTATAGTAATTGACGGGAGCCACTGACACTTGCCCTGGGAATGCGGGTACATGAACCGTCACGGGACGGGTTGGAGGAGGAGGGGGAGGGAAGCTGGGCACAAGTTTTCGCCTCCTCGTCTGCGCTCTCTCGGCAAGACGTCATCTGGTCAAATCCTCTTACATTTCAGCTTTTTCACATGGTTAGCAACTCATTCACCACGACGCTCCTCCCTTTGAGGGTTCATGCAAAAAACTTCTTCCCCCCGCCCCAAGTGAGAGTCGTTTCTAGGCACCACTACAGGTCTGCAAAACCATCCGCCATCCTTCTCGGCGCTATAGCCCTCAACAAGACGGATTTTAAAGTCTCGTGAATGTGTTATACAATAGCCAGAAAACACACTCAAGCCTCCAAACACCCATCACATATACGACGCAAAAAAGGCTACTGTATCACACGTTCACGAGATATTAAAACCTGATTTGTCAGCCCTTATTTTTAGAAACCTGGCTGCATATGAAACCTCAGTGCTTCCCCCTACCCAACTACATTTCCCCTACTTGTTGCGCATAATAAGAGTAGAACTACAAATAATTACCACATTGATTGCAATTCAAGAAATAAGGCTTAATTTAAGTGCAATTTCAAGTATCAACGATGGAAGCAAAACATCAGTTTCAAACTAGCGCGTAGTACCGTATTTGCAAGCAGTTGGCATGCAGCCAGCACGCCTGCGAATCTTAAGCACGTCGCGATCGATAATGTGCAGCAGATGATTTCTATATCGATCGTTTCGGCGGCCGTAATGAAGGTGTGGTCGTTCGGGTCGGTGGGTGTGCGTCAGTTGCGGTGTCGCGACCGCTCATAGGGGGTTCCCGTCCAGTCACCAAGCAGTTTGGGGGCTTCGCGTTCTTTGTTTGTCATTATTGCTTAGTTACTAACAAAATGGAGCAGCATAGAGATATCTGCCCTACTATGACTCTTTAGGGGAATATATCTATGTGGCTTTATAGAAGCTCCAGTTTGTGACGAACGAACTGACGTGTATGAAGGGAAAAAACTTGCGTGCAAACAAAGCACAGCATCGATTTTCCTTCGAGCTTGTTCGTGTCGTGTGACCTGGCTGCGGTCGGCTGGGTTCATTATGCACGTAGCCGGTCGGCAGCTTTGTTAACCACAGCTGACCGAGCTTCCATGGGGATACATTGTGTTAAAGCCCATATCGACCAGTTGCCCATGAAATCTCCCATAATCGGCTGTCATCTTTTATGCTGATATTGTAGAGCCGTGGTGTTGTGTCTCATTATTTCTGAAACGAAAACTGCAACTCTTCTATTGACCTTAGTTCTGGTTGGGGGACAACCTTTATCAGAAGAAGAATTCCTTCCAAATGATATATTCGACTTAATTTGACTTCCTCTCAAGCCCTACAGGAAATGTTACAGACAATTCTTATTCTCGTTAGGGCTTCTAAAATTACGATTTATAATCGACGATTTTCGTCGTGAACTTTGTATGCGTCAGACATCCATATAATACATAGTATTTCTTTGATGTAAGCTATTATTTTTCACAGGGTAAAATTTTGGTTTGTTTGTTTAAATTAAAACTTATACGAGTGAGTAGCAGTGGCTGCAGTGTTTGCGGCATCGTATTGCTCCCGTACCCAAACTTTTCACCAATAGTACTTTTGAAGACAGGGAACGATTTAAATCAATTGTAACGTAGTTTTACACGGCTGACGGACATTACGTCCTGCCAGGTCTGCACAAGTTCCCCTTCAACTGTTGCCCAAGATTCGATGCTTTGTGTGAAATTAGGAATCCAAATGCCTATCTCATTTTCTAGTGGATGTCGTCATATCGACTGTTCTTGATAGGTTTACAGCGACCATCTAAAAACATACTAAAAACACAGGCCTAGTCTTGTCAGCTCTGGAATCCTGGATCAAGCGAAGAGTAGTAATTATATTCCCCATAAAACTAATTGGATGGTCCTGCCTAGTTTTTTGGACAATGGTTATGCTAAGCCGCGTGCGGTTGGTATTTCGTTAACGATTATAGCCTTCTGTAGCCTTCATTACAAGAACATGGCTGTTCGTGATCAGTACTATTTGCAATCATGTTTCTTATGTGAGTATTGTAGCTTCTGACGTTATTCCTTTCAATGAATGGCTTCCCGTCAGTCATAGCTGTTGTATTCTGCATTGAATCAAAAATCGCGAGTGCTTAAGCGCTTACAGCAGTTTATGTAGTAATACGTTTATAGGTATGATACCCAGTCCTTCAAGTAAGGAGAGAAAACTGTTGAAGCCTCATAATCCTGGAACTTCGCCAGTGAAAATTTGTCAACCTCCGGTATGTTTTCTCATAATTCTTGTTTCATATACTAATGACTCATCAAGTAGTGGGGTATACTGGCGCTTATTCATTGTTTTAATCAATAGGTGCGTTCTCCCCTGGTTACGCCTACGAAAAGTTACGGTGATAGATTCATTCCGATTCGGAAACCGAATCAGGAGTGGACCACGCGGTACAATGCAATAGTTTGTCCAGAACAAGAGGTTTGCTTTCGTTATTTCTCGCCCTTTTCCTACTGTCATATTTCTGATTTCAGTCTCCGGTTAGCTTCAAGCGTCCCACAGCGAATCGTACTCCAGCTACGACTACGAATGTCACCAATAATAATGGTAGTCCCAGCTCACAGTACAACCAAAACCAGGTAGAGTTTTCGTTGTGATACTTACTTCGAAGGTAGCGAGCTTTATGTGTTTTCGGCGAATTACCATTACTAAAAAATTTTGGACAAGTTTTGGAAATTGTCGGATAACTCTATTTCTAGAGCAGACTATTTTCTAAATAATAAAGTCATCGGGGAGTCGTGAAGGAATGTGAAGGAAGACTAGTATAAGAAATCGTCGAGCTTTCAAAGTAAACGAAAGATTACCAGGGGCGAAAGGTGAAACTTGATGATGAAGCGATATTTTTGATTAAGGTAACGAAGAGTGGCTATTCTTTATTTGGTTCAGAGGAATAGGATAGAAGCAAACATAATTGCTAGGGAAGGATATGCTGTTATTTTTTCACAATTTCCTCATCGAATGTGAAATCATGCAGTTATCAAATGAGATGCCCTAGTTTCTTTCGTTTCGGCTCCAAGCATGCGTCTCCTTTTTTGCTGCCACCTTTGCTTCAAAGATTTTTCGGGATTCGTGTGGATTTATCAACTCAGTCTTACTTTTTTGCTGGTAATGCAATTTTGCTGCTTGTTATATGAGTTTTTTTTTTCGCGCGCGATCACCACCTGTTACAGTGGATGCGACATATTTTTGCTATGAATTGCAACCCATTCAGAGGAGAATAGTTAGAGATGAAAAATAACGTTGTCCTTAGATGTAATAACTTTCCAGAACACGAACAATGAAGAATCACGACAGGATCAAATGGTTGTTCGTGCGCTGCTTCGAAACGAGTTGTTACAGGATAGAATTGATGACATACGAGTACGTTTTGCCGAACATTACAAGAAGAAAGTTGGGACCTTGGATATACATACACTTATGCACTTTTCTTTGTATTTACGATTGTTCAAAAAGTTAACTATTTAAGTCTTGCTACAAAGATCTGGAAACAGAGAAGCCTCCAAGCAGTCCTGCTGGAGGACTTTTCAGCTACATCAAGCGAACACCGACCAAGTTAGGGGATCCTAGTACTTCTCATAGGTACTCTTTGTTCTTCGTATATACCTATCGGGAAAGCTGGAAAGTTGTATGTTCACACATTTCTTTCATTGTATCTTTTTTAGTTTCGCTTTGTCACCGTTTTCTGGTCCGCTGAGTGAGGATAGTCAAAGACTTCTAAAAAGCCCCCGAAAACCGCAAAGGAAAGTCCCGAAGAACCCATACAAGGTAGCTACTTTCTGAAAAGGGTGTTTTCAACGCATGATTAATTCCGAGCACTCGTTGTAGGTGCTTGATGCTCCGGAGCTTCAAGATGACTTCTATCTCAATCTAGTCGATTGGTCTTCTCAAAATATGCTGTCTGTAGGGCTTAATACGTGTGTGTATTTGTGGAGCGCCTGTAATAGTCAGGTAAATTTACAAAGTTTGAAATGTCTAGGTGAACAATGTCAAATGCTCTTTAAAAATGCTGCCGTCAAAACATGCTAGTCTAAATACTGAGGTTTTTCATAAATGTCAGCGTATTGTACGCTGTTAGGTTTCGTCTACGTTAGGGAGTATGTTGGGAAGTGCTGGTAGAAGGCCCTATTCAGAAGAGATGTGGAATTGGAATGAGTGGAGTATGAATACTATTCTTTATGAAACAATGGCTCACTAATAACCACTTATATTAGTTGCGGAATAGAAATTCTTACAGCAAACCTTTTCTTTCCAGGTTGTTAAATTATGCGATTTGGTGAATGATCAGGACACCGTGACCTCTGTGCAGTGGGCAGATAAAGGTGAACTCCTTGCAGTTGGTACAAATCGCGGAATCACTCAAGTAACTTTTTTTTTGATTTTCAAAGTTTTATGTTAAAGTGGTTAGCAACAAGTTGTCTGCAGATATGGGATGTGCATAGTCAGAAAATGACTATGGAGCTTTCTGGTCATACATCACGTGTTGGGTGCTTGGCTTGGAATGGCGACCTCGTTTGCTCGGGGAGTCGTGATCGTCACATCATCCAACGTGACATTCGCCAACCTCATAACACGGAAAAGAAGATGAGCGCGCACCGTCAAGAGGTGGGAGGACATTAGGATTTCATAGTAAATTGTGTCGAAACTCTTAAAGTCGTTGGTTAAGTAATAGTTTTAGGTAAAGTTCGTATTTATCCCAAAGCACAAATGACTTATACGAGGCCGCCATTAGTTTTAAGGAAGTTTCAAGTGAGGCAATGAATCAGCAAAAACTCATTCAGGTCTGTGGTTTGAAGTGGTCACCTGACAAGCAATATCTTGCATCTGGTGGAAACGATAACCAGTTGTTGGTATGGTCTATGCGGCGCACTGATCCAAGCCAAGTGAGTTTTGAGAATTTTCCCTCTATCCGTTTTGTTTTGGTGGTCGTTCACGAAATAAAAACAGACTCGTAGTCTTACTGTCTTACTTTTTGGCGAAATCACATTAAACGAGCGTATTTTGCAATCCCACACCAATCTGGCACGGAAGTACGCGAAATTCATTCTCTCGTTGGTGGAATTTTGTTGAATGTTCCAACTTACTGCGAAATGCTCCCTATTCGTGAATTTCCCACATAACTTTATTCAGACATTCACTGAACATAGCGCAGCGGTGAAGGCGCTTGCATGGTCACCACATCACCATGGCCTTCTGGTGTCTGGGGGAGGAACCGCCGATCGTCATTTGCGATTCTGGAACACGTTGACTGGTCAGCCAATGCAAGCTATTGATACAGGAAGTCAGGTAAGTATTAAAATACTATGGAGGGCGCAACCATCGCCTACAAAATATTTTGATCCAAACAACTCCAGGTATGCAATGTAGCATGGTCGAAGCACAGCAGTGAACTGGTGTCAACCCATGGGTATTCCTTAAACCAGGTACGTTAGTTAGAATAGAGAGGTTTTAGAGCCAAGACCCTCCATAATCATCATTCAATTCATCGCTTGGTCTAGGTGATAATATGGAAATATCCGAGCCTTCAACCTGTAACGAAGCTCTCTGGTCACCAATTCCGTGTTCTATATTTGGTTTGTATCTATCATTTTCTTATGTTTTGATTCTCTTCCAAAAAACTTCACCATCTTGCAGGCAATGTCACCCGATGGAGAGTCAATAGTAACTGGAGCCGGTGATGAAACACTACGATTTTGGCATGTATTTAGTAAATCTGGTCAGCAGAGAGCAGCTCGAAGCAAGTTGAACCTGTTTCATAGCTTGAGATGATTTCTGTGACATTCATGTCTTGAATCCTTGGGGTCAATACATTAACGGGCAGTATACTCCTGTTTCTGCACTGTGCTTCCGTTTTTTACATAATGCATTCGCATCGTTTTTCAAACTTCTATGTTGTTCGCATTTGCTACTATCGAAGCAGTATTCCCCTTATTCACAATGAGATTGGTGTGAGAACTTTTCTCCGAATAACGACGAGAGCTGTAACAGTTTTCAGCTAGCATCTTCATGGTAGAGATGTTCTAATCTCTATCTATAATTTCTTGTGTTAAGTTTACGAGATAGTTATTTTGCAAATGTAATAGATTATAGGGTTTTTTGCTATTAGTTTTCCTCGTTATTGTTTGAGGCATGTACAGCTAACTGTCATTTTCTGTGATACTTGGCCGACAACGCGATCTCTCCTAGAAATTATACTGTTCCAACATCTTAATAGTCCTTCATGTTGACCTGAACCTTAGGGGTGCTCATGTATGCAATGTGGGTTGAAGCAGCATCTAACTCGACTGGATGTCCTCCCAACACTGTCGTACATGTGTGGAACCCGCCGTTTTGTTCCATGATAATGGGCTTAGGAAAGGTTAAGAAATGTCACATCTGGCGGTCAAATTAGATGTGGTGCTATCGTAATTTGTGCAGTAAAGTAAACCATTGGGTTCTTGTGGTAAATTATAGTGTATGGTTGTTCCAAGCCTCGAATTAGTCATGGCATCTATACCGTGCATAGGGATACTGTCGTCATTTTCTCATCTGTGGTATTGTGTTTTGAGGCAAATAATGCTGTCGCCTAGTCGTTTCTCGTCATCCTTTATATGGAAGTGTGGAACCTTTTCACATTATGAACCCATCATCCATTGTCTCATTCAACTCTGAAAATTTTTGATGATCGGAATAATCATTCTTAGTTTTTCTTTTTTGATTCTGATTCGCTGCATTCTGCAGTAATTATGAATTCGTTACTTTCTTTGGATATGTAGTCGCATTTTCTCGTTTTCTTTTTTTTTCACGTACTCTTACATTATGTGGAAACTGCGAATACTCTTTTTCTTCTCGTACATGAGGAATATATGCATGTGCGTGCGTGTATGTGTGTGTAGTGTTCGCGCTCAATGACGAGATCAGTGTGCTATAAACCATTTAACAGCGCGCGTTAAACGTCGCGTTGTGGCTATACTACATGTTCCATGTTCTGTTCTAATATTTATTCTCTTGATGAATTGAGAAATAATAAAATGTTAATGAATACCGGTTTACGATCGAGCAATGCTGGACAATGTAGCAAAATAAAATGTAACCCATATCAAAAATTCTATGTACATATACAACAGTGCAAGTATGGCCTTACTTCCAAATCTTAATTACACCATCTGAACCAGCAGACACTAGAATATCAGATTGCAGACAAAGCACGTCGCTAATTGATGTTCGGTGCCGGGTCGATGCATAGTTCTGCAAATGTACCTAGGTATTGATCTCTTCGATGAGAAGATGGCCTGTATTGGTCAGAACTTGATCTGTATTTTTTGAAAGTCGCTTCTCATTTCAACTGTTCAATGACGTCAACTTTATATTTTTCCTCCACTGAATTTGCTACCTCTCTCAATTGGTCACGGTGGCTTGCTGTTTGCTGGCCGTGCCCTTCTACTACCAATTTAGATATTACGCTCTAACCAAGTTTTCTTGTGATGTTCAGTGAAGTCATGGAAGTTCAGCTTACCCTCATTTCCGGAAACGTTCTAGCTTTCGTTTGTTCATTAGGAACACGCATTTCGTAGATCGTGGCAGGCTGTCCGTCCGCTCCTGCCATCTCATTATATGCGATTCTGTATGGGGACCGAGCTGGAAAATTCGTATATTATAAAGTATCACCAGAGTACTGACTGTCTCACACAATGTGCGGAATTCTTCAGTGAACTTGAGGTAGAAGGATGAACTTGCATCTTTTGGGAAATCTTTTTAAATTTACAACTTTTGTAACAACCGATAGCCAATGGTTGAAATCCGTTGTAACTCGTACCAGTTATCTCTCTGGGACCGCTTATATACTCGCATAATGGTGCACGATTGAGGTTCCATCGACGGAGGCTTCCTTCTGTGTCGCCCGTGTATACAAATCCTGTATCCATACAAACGTTCAACGCTGTGGTCACATTTCGCAGGTCGTCCTGAATAAAAAAAACATTTGTATTAATATGAATCAATATTGCAAGGTCTCCAACAGTAGTACACGTACATCGGAAGCACCAGTCTGGACATAAGAAAAAGGGTCAGACAGTGATGGCCATAGTGTTCTGCAAGAATTTTTTACTTTTGATGTGCAAATCGTTTATATTTCTTAAATTTGATTTTAAAAAAGTCCCAATCTTCTATGAACCAAAAATATTTTTGTTAACATGAAATCACTGACCTTGATGGACTTGTGGTGCCCAACTCAAAGATGTCGACTTCACCACGTGTCCCGTAGGCGACAAAGACCTGAAATAAAGTAAAAGATTTCAAAGACGTGCTCAAATAAATAGGGAGATTGCATAGATGCTCATAGAAGGCCTGTACTCATAGGCCCAGGTATAGGGGCAACACTATGCATAAGTAAGATTTAACATAAGAGTACTGGCTTCTAGCTGCAGACCTTGTTTTCCTTCATATTTGCGTTCAAGGGAGGTCTGTGGAAAAGGTCCTCATCCTTCAGCAGGACACTGCACATATTCAACGGAAACGTTTACCTTATTGGTTTCCTACTTACCAGTCTCTACCAATTCACTTAGAGTGAAATTTATTAGAAACGGACCCATTTAATCATTACCCACTAAGAATCTTCTGAAAAAGTTCGGAAGGTCTCAAACAACAAAAAAAAAATAACACAGCCCTAGTCAACTCACTTCTGGCGGCGTCTGAATATACGGTGATGATAAAGGATTTGACCACAAACGCAGCGGTAGCAATCCGTGTGGCGTTTTCCATGCGTTGACCTCCACTTGAAATCTAAAGAGTTAATCGATATATCTACCACTTAGGAGAATAAAAAATATTTTTCCACAAATAAAGTTACATCTGCTCCGCTATTACTATTACTTCTGCTTGCAATTATCAACAACACTGGACTCTTTCCGATCTGTTACCGGGATAGTAATTCGAATGACAGAGCTATCGCAACCACTAATTAGCAGAGGTCACGCTCGCGTGGGCTGTCAATTCGGGCAGACACAATGGGTGCTAATGACCTCGTAGCAATACGAAAGTATACGAAAACGGGGGAGTGATATTTATTTACTTCTATCGTCACGCGTCTTTAGAGCAATCGCTAAATTGCGAGGAGAACTGAATACCGCTAACTAAAAAGCAATTACTCTGCAAAACTAAAATCGATTGGGGTCGAATTTTACTCAGAAAAAAATATACTCAAAAAAGGAAAACCCTTCAGAAAGCATTGGATCGCGGCGTTTACTGGACATCTAGTTAGCCTTTTGTGACTGTAGAATTGCCAGGGAAGCACTAATCATTTGAGGAAAAGGCTAGACGTGCCCGCGTCGCACAGTAAAGTTACACAACCATTCTTGGGAAACGATTGAACTTTTCATTACCAATGGTCAAGTGACTGTCACCCTTCAATCACTCTACAGAACCCTAGCACCCTCCTGAAGTCAGATTCACTCTACCAGCTTCTACCAGCTGAACTAACATCTGCTCGCAGGTCCACTAAAATGTTTTATTAGATTAGCCACGGCTTAGAAAGGATTTTTCATATCTGAAACACCTCACAGTTACCTTGACGCATACGAACATTATAAATTTTACCTCAAGTCCCATAGCATTAGTTCGTTATTCGTACTGCACATCACCATCCAGTTCTCCATGATCGGATCGACAACGAACGATGTCACCTTTAATTGGCTTCAAAACCGCATAAAACAAAAAAACGAAAAAAGGAAAGAAAGGAGGGAAAAAAGGAAGTTAAGCTCACCAGTCCATGATATTTCACTACCTCTCGCCGCCACACCTCATGAAATCCTAATGGTCCATTGGTTTTGCCCACTCTGTATTATGAATATGAACATTGTAGTAGCTTCCGCGATTTTAGTTCTATTAAAATCTATGAAAAAGTTTGTGTTCAAAGAAACGAATTAATTAATTTCTCATTGAAATCTCCGGGGATTTGGTACGAAAAAAATCAAAAAATACCGATAAAATATGTTTACAAGCAATGTCACCTGAGGTCAAGGCAATAAATTGCACCATGATGACTCCGCAAATAAGCGACGTTATTTGACACATGTATTTGTTCAGGTGCTCCCTCTAGTTTAGGTAGACGTACCTGGAAAAGTCTCAAAAACCTATGATTTTAGATTTGACCATTTTCCTCGACTGTTTCAATATCCCGCTCAAATTATCTTCATAATAACTTATATGGCGTCTCGCGCCAGGGAAAAAAGTAATGATGAATAGCCATGCGAAAAAAAAAACCGTAATTTCGCTCTAATGAAGGTGCTTGAGTTTTTGACGTCCAGAAATTTTTAAATCCGCCTTTCCCTACGTGAAGACCAACCTTTGTTACAATTCGGGGTTCACTCGTTGCGCAATCGACCCAAAGAACATGACCGTCACCAATAGTGGCCGCGATGATTTCATTGCTAGCCCATCCGATCGATGAAATAGGATAATCTGAAACTGGGCTACTGAACAATTGCTAAACAGCCAACGAACCTATGAATCCTTTTGAACTACAAAATAAAATTAAGATTACGTAGATGACAACAAAACATACTTCTGTTGTATAGGAACGAGCCGTCTGATCTAACGGTTGGCGTAGGGCCATCTCCAACAACATTCCGCGAATTCCATAACAATACATAACCATCAAGGGAAGACGAGGCAAACCGTGTTCGGTCTGGCTGCACAGCCAATCTTGAAGGCACTATGGTATCATCGAACCATTATGTAAATCTTTGAGTGTCGAAAAGGACTACTTCGAGAAAAGCAAAGTAGCATCAGTAACAAATCATGAATCAGGTAGTATAATGCTGGAACATATGCTTACTGGGTGATTTTGTCCGTGTGCTCGTGTAAATGCGTCAACAGTGTACCAGTAACCTTAGAATTCGAAGGGACTGGCCTAGAGCCCCTAAAATTACACCAAGCACTGATAACGTCTTTGAAAACAATGGTGTGCATTTGAATATTTTCTGAACTGATCACAACGAAACAACTGAGCTCTTTCCCTTCTCGTGCTACAACGCGCATCAAGCGTAACTTCCATGAATCCACCAAGCTTAATCGAATTTCGTTGTTAATAACATAGGGTAGCCTACCTTCTTCTCCCTCCACTAGCACTGAACTTCTTATAAAACAGTTCGTTTTTATGCTGTAGCAATTCAGCGAGTTGGGCTCCACACACCGAAGTTCGCACTGAACGGAAATTAGTTAGTCGTTGAAATGCACGAAATTGAGAAGTAAAGTTTTACTCCATGCTATCTCACGACCGAGCGAAGAACTGATACAGGAAAGACACAACTTGAATATTCCTACTTCCAAGACTCTAGATACCTATTATAGATCCCAGCGAACTTCAGCGGAGACACTCTCGACATTCTCTTAAATTTTGATTTTTCACAAAAAAAACTTTGACCTACTTGCTTTTGCACAACTTATTACATAATAACATTAGACATATATGACAGGGCCTTTTAGATTGCACGCAGTTGCGGAAGAAGAAGCCAGAATTAGAGAAAAAGGAACAGTAATGGTTCCAGAAGGTTCTACTCACTCGATCGAGTCTGCATCAACAGATGCGCGGCGTTGCGTTCTTCCAAAGACTTTTCATCGTTGATCTGTTCTGTTTCACCAAACATTTCATTCCATTCACTGTTCATATCTGCCGGAGCGACGACCTTAAATTCGAACACTTTGAACATTGAATGTCTTGAGAACAGTACATGCTTAACTTTACCTTTGTTTGTGAAATACTGCTCGTCACGTAATTATGAGCATTACGTCGAACCTTTGCATGCTGCTTGGAGGATAGGTCAATGATCCCTTTGTGCTGGGTTAGCTCAGCTTCCATGCCGGCTCTAGAATACTCCTTTCAAACAATTACACTTGAACGATGATCTTGAATAGGCGATGAAGAGCCCTTGCTCTCGTCTGCCCTTCGCTCTTTGGGGACAAATTTTCACAGTATGGAACATATATCTCGTTTCCGAACGATTGCAAAAAGGAAGGGTGACTGAACAATTCAGCCGTATCTCTGAAGATCTGAGATTCCTCGATTATGGAGGAGACTGATGACTACCATGACTGCAGAATGATAATTTGAAAATGTTATCAAAGACAATTTGAGTGAGGTTATGATCGTGACTAGAGGAGAGCAAAGCTACTGAAACTTGAAAGAAAAGTTTAGTGGCGTATCAAGTATTATTCGAACTAGGAAGCAAGAGTGCAAAACGTACGTTCTCCGGAATTCGGCCATTTTTAACAGAAGCCGATTGAATCGAGAGAATTTCTCAAATAACTCCGGGTCGAGAGTGTCTCGCCCAAACACTCGTGTGAACCATGAATCATTGCAAGTAATTACGCCCCCTCTGATTCCGCGATCTGTAATGAGCAATAGCGGTAGCCATGTCGAACAAAATGGAGAAATAGGAAAAGATCAAATAAGGTTGCGGTACGCAAAATAGACGGGAACGTATTTATAAGATGTACTTTCAGAATTTCCACTCCTTACCCAGAAAAAGATGAAGTGCTTCTGTTTGTTCAGGACTCATTTCCGTCACTTTCTTCCAGACATCGCGAGGTATGGGCGATTTCAAGCACGTAAGCACAACTAACTATAAATCAGTGTTGTACAACGGAATTCTATGACCACACCGAACACCTCATCAATAAGATACCTTGTTATTGAGACGCAACAGAGAGGAGTCTTGCAAGTAAGGTCGAACCAACGGTAACAAACGACAATGCACATCCGCCAGTGACCAACAGGAGTCGAGTACAATCAACAGCTCAACGACTGTAACGCGTATCCATTCATTCTGAAACGTACAAAGAGAAATGCCCGAAGAAGCTCGTTTATTCGGCTAACTTTCTACCAAGCCTACTTTTTTATTTTATTCAACTTTCTCATGGAACTCACATAAATGCCCCATACAACTCACCGGATGAGACAAAAATGGTAGTGTATCTTCCAGAAGCTCCAACATTTCGTTCCTTCCCAACACACCAGTTTCCACAAGAACAATAATACAATGTATTGCGTGAATCACCACCAGCTCTTCAAAATCGTGTAATCCCTGAACAAGGAACAAAGTTAGCCGCGTAAAGCGACAAGGTTCCTAGAAATCGAAAAAAGGAGCTAGTATCACATGGTTCTCTTTTGAACTTCAATAAAGTGACGTGCGTAGGAGCACTAGGTGAGAATTTCATAGGACTGAAATTACAAGTTCTAGTAATGTCACCTGTTGTAACAAGGGCTTCACATCGAAGCTGTTTTTCTGCACACATATTGGGAGTGACTCGAAAAATACTGCACGTAGTCGCCAGTCACTTTTAACATTTAGGAAGGTAATCATATGACGGAGCAGTATCTCGCCGCCTAGAAAAAGACCTGGCTTCTATCAACACAAACAAGACCAAGGAAAGATAAAGCTCACAATTCATCCTTCCAAAGAAAGTGTACAACTTCGCCAACGACTCTCGATTAACAGCACAGTGGCGAACGCTGTTGTCTTGGCTGCTACATAACATTTCAAAAAGATCACTGAGTGCTTTTTGAAGTGCAGTTTTCTCATCGGCAGCCTGCTGTGCTTCTGTAAATCGAGGACATGGAATCAGCTGAGAAGGGAGGAATTGAAAGACCATGAATACAGTTTTCGAAGGTTAGGTAGAGAAAGGGTTTCAGAAAGGCAAGACTACAGTATATAAGGATAACTATTACCCGATATGTTTTCCGCTCCCGAAATTTCATCATCTGCAACACCATTTCGCAAATTTCGTCCAACTACATGAAATCTGAAGCAATCATACAATTGCGGCTTACGTCAGTATCTAATTCAGGCAGACTACCTGTAAGCGGTTTCTGCGATATCACCGAGATTCGTCGCTACAGCCAGAAGAACGTGAGTCGGACAAGGATGTCGTTTATCACTCAGCATCGAGGACTAAACCACACAAAATGAGTGGTGAACTAAATGAAAAAATTGAAATCACAGGAATCCAAATATAACTCGCCAGTTCCGGCAGCAAGTAATCAATGAACACCAATGAATCTTCAAAAGTTGCCGGTTCAATTGGACGTAGAAGCTCAGTGATGGAATACACCGCCGATGCCCGAACTTGAGCGTCGACTTCGGACAAGCAGCAAACCTGAGGGAATATTATGAAACAAGAAATCCCCTCTAAGAACCATGGAGCCACAAACCAGGTAGGGCAATACTCGCTCTGTTGACACCACCGGACCACACAATGACGCCAGCTTCACGAGCATATTCATGGCATCCTGGATAAAAGGTCGATTATGTTTTAGATTTAGCCTTACCAACCACTAAGAAAAACATTCGTCAAATGAAAAGTTTAAAAAAAACAAAAAAAGAAAAGAAAAGACCGGAAAACTGACAACTGGTGAAATTTCTCGAGAAAAACTCACAATTTTCGCAGGCACACTTCGCAGTACTCGTATGTTTGCAGTGATGAGCGATATGAAGAGTATGGCATAAGGACGGCTTTCTTCACACTCAGTGAGACGCTCCCATATAGATTTTTCATCTCGTTTGAGCCTCAAAATTGGAACTATGCACTACGTTGTAGGTATCGATATTCTGAAAACTGACTTTGCAATGACATCGTCGGGTTCGAGATGGAACGCCATTTGAGACTGTTCAAAGCCTTCCAACGACTGTGACGTCGTTATTTCCTTTGGACGAAATGCATTTAAGTAACTGAAGAAAGCATCCAGAACTTTAGGAAAATGTAGCACAGATCCATCTAACTGAAAATACGGGAAAGTTTTTGAAGGAGAGAATGTAGAGCACTGCATGACTTAGAAAAAGTAAAAGATGCATTATTCACCACTTGTTGTGCTGAGACGCGAAGGGATGGGTCTCGATTCAACAACAATTTCAATAATGGGCGAAACTGTGCAGCAATATCCTGGAGTAGCCTGAAAATACGAAGAAATTGGAATGTTTTCGCTACTTCCTCACACCATAATGTGACATTCAACACCCCACGAGGGCTAGGAAATGAAGAGAAATTAGGCGAGCTCGAAGGAAAGCGGTCAACAAGCAAATACCTTTCCAAGAATGAGGCAGCGTCACTGCTTGACATTCTCTGATAAAGACAAAGCTCTCCATATGAGAAGGGAGGCTTTCCCGAGTCATGCAGGAGTTCATAAACAACACACCCAACGGCGAAGAGATCCATCGAAGGTTGGAGTGAGCCTGTAGAGCGGCAACGTGTGGGCTTCCAGAAAAGAAACGCCATTGTACTTACCAAAAAGCCACTCGTCCCCCTTTTCCTTGTGAATATTCTCATAATCCACTGACGAAAGAAAACGTTCTGGAGCTAAATAGCAGTGCTGATGGCGACTAGTGTCAAAGAAGAATGTGAATGAGGATGGATTATCCTGAATAATGCAGAAAACTTGGTCTCTGAAAAGAATTCTTGACCAAAGATGAAATGGTTGTGTAAGTTTTCATCAAACATTACTCGAAAACCAAAGTTGTGTCTGGGTTCACCATTATTCTGAGGGTAAGACAATGCTACGGTTGAACTCCTGTGAAAAAAAAGTGCCACATCATTGACATGGTACTTACATGAGGAAGATAAGTAGGTTTGTAAGGAGCGAAGTCGGTGATTTGCAACCAATTAGAAGATGTAAGAAGCACATTTTGCGATTTCAGATCACCGTGACAAACATTTGCCTTCTGACATTGTGCAATCGCTTTGAACAGCTGATAAATGTACCTGAAAACTTTTCATTCAAGAATTCCTTGAGAGCCTAGACGATTGAGAGGAGCATTGTTATGCATTGACCTACCAGATTTTTTCCTGTTGGACTATAAACGGTCTAGTACTTAATCGGTCGCAAAGAGTCTGCTTTTGAAAAGGACGGATTAGCACGGCCCATTTGGGGGTCACCTGAATGATTCTACGCTCAATTGTCTAAAGTCACTATAATGAGAATAAGTTTGTACTTACGTATATCTTTTTGACTGTACAACAATTTGGTGCATTCACAAGTGCATCCCGGATTCGAAAGAGCTCCTTTCGATAAGGCTCATAGACTGATGAGTCTTCCTGAATTCACTCTGAGGATTAAAATTATAAAATGCAGATCTTTGAAACGGTGGTTCTTCAATTTTAGGCCTTCTTCACTAATTTTTTACAATCATGCCACTTACCTGAGTAAGAAAAACCTTCCACACACAAGTTCCTTCGCTGTTACGACCTCGAGCGACTTTCATAAACCGAGTGCTTCCAAGACTGAAAACGGCAATCGTACCTTTTGCACATTTCAGCCAGTATACGGAATCACTTCAATAAACTTGCCTTTCTATGGGTTCTCCACATGCCAAGTCATTGAGATAGTACTCGACAGGAAGCACATCGGACGAACTTGACGAAGAGTGAACATTACCCATGCTCAAGAAGCTATACTTAGTCCCAAAGCTGTACAAGCCTTATATGGTACATTGCAAATAACACAACACCCTCACTTACATTACTTTTTCGAGTTACCATTAGTTGCACAGTATTGCTGGAGAAATTGATGACTAGAAAATGAAAAGAAGCAATGTGCTCCAATCAGGTTTATTTGCTCCACTTCATCGCGCGTGCTTGCGCTGCGCTATCAATTTGAAAGCTGGAGGTGCTCCTCCGATTTCGCGGCTTTTAGTTTTCAGGTTCATTTTTTTGTTTTATGGTTTTGGCTTATTTTAGGTCAACAAAGCCGCTTCCACTAGGTTTGCTGATGCTTTCATACTTGTAAGTATGCTCATAACTTCATACTTGTAGGTATTTTATGGGGACAGTCGCCAGACACAATCATGCACATTAAAGAGGTACGAGTCAATCACTGTGGTGATTTTGGTGGCTTGCTTATATAATATTTTTCTAGGTCAACATCACAGGATTCCGCAGTTATCGTGAAGTTACGAGCATTGACAGCTTCTCACCGAAACATAATGTCATAGTGGGACGTAATGGTAGTGGAAAGTCGAATTTCTTTTTTGGTCAGTGACGATGTTATCTAGAATTTTAGCGTTCAACATCAAACATGAATTTATATACTCATACTAAAGCCACCTAAAACCTCGTGTTACTTGTTCTTCTCAACTGTCTTCTTTCTTATGGGAGCGGCAAGTGCAATGAAACTGTTTAGGAAGATTTCGGCAAAATTTAGTTTAAGGAGTACATGGAATTGCGGAATTTCAACCAATACAGTGTACCCTCATTTCTATTTTGGGGTTTTGATCGCGCTGATTTATTGTTTTGCAGCTATTCAGTTCGTTCTGAGCGATGAGTTCAGCCACCTTCGTTCGGAGCAAAGAATGGGAGTGCTGCACGAAGGTACCGGTCCTCGTATCAACACAGCTCGTGTTGAAATAGTCTTCGATAATAGTGATCGCAGGATTCCCGCAGTAAGTCTAGCACAAGTCCTGAAACTTTCAAAATTAATCCTAAATGTTCTCATCTCTTTTGCACAGATTGAAGGAACAGAGGTTCGGGTAGTACGCCAAGTCGGTCAAAAAAAGGACCAATATTTCATCGATGGGAAGATGGTGCCTCGCGCGGAGGTAAGTTTCACCGAAGAACCTTTCATTCCCTCCCTCTATATCTTTGTAAGTTGTTTCTGATGGATCCCACCTAGGTTGTCAATCTCATGGAGTCTGCTGGTTTCTCGCGATCGAATCCATACTATATCGTCAAACAAGGAAAGATCAACGAGTTGGCTACAGCTCCTGATTCGCATAGGTACAAATTTATTTTTTTCAATGAGTTTAACTTCTCTAAAAAATCCCAGTTCAGAAAAATTGTTCACTGATCCGCTCAAGTGTTTTAAGAGCTATTTTGTTCAGGCTCAAGTTGTTGCGTGAAGTCGCTGGAACGCGGGTGTATGACGAACGGAAGGAAGAAAGCTTGAAGATTCTAAAAGAGACACGTATGTTTGAGTATCACTCGCTGTAATAGATAGTAGCGGGCGAAGGTCTCGTTTCAGATAACAAAACGACTAAGATTGAAACACTGTTGTCGTATATTGACGAACGCTTAAAAACGTTAGAAGAAGAGAAGGAAGATCTGAAGGAATACCAAAAATGGGACAAAATGAAAAGATCGATTGAATATACAATTTACGATACCGAGGCTAACGAAACACGAAAGAAATTGGAGCGGTTACTTGACCAGCGTGAGGAGCTTAGTACTCGTCAGACAAAGGTACACTAGATAATAGTTATTCCAAATCTCCTTGAAACTGTAATGCTTGTTTTAGGTGAGCAGCGAATTGGTTGAAGTGCAAGCTCGAGGTGTAAGGGCAGGAGCAGAGCAACGAAAGTTGGAATCTCGCTTCAAAGGAATGAAAGAGGAGAAAGTGAGTTAAAAGTTAAAGTTTTGAAAGTAGTGACTATTACTCAGCCTTAAAACGTTATCATTATCCTAATTTTGTTTATTTTTTGTTTAATGCATGTTTATCCTAATATGATATTCTTGACCAGCTCAAAATACACTTCTAAGGTTTTTTTTCTTATAGATCATCTTTTCTTTACTAGTATTTCTTCTGATACGTCAGTTTCACACGTGCATTTCAATTAAGGAAGCTCTTCTCGTGGAGCAGGCGCAGCGATTCGAGAAAAAAGCGGAGCTGGCATTGTTGATAAACGATCTGAAAGAAGACGTTGAAAAGTAGGCTGTAATAATTGCTCGATTACCTTTTTTCCTCTTTCGCTATTAATTGATTTGCTTCAGAGAGAAGAGCGGTCGCAATAAAGCCGAAGATGTACTCAACCAAGTGAAAGCTGAGATTCGTGAGAAAGAAGAAGAGTTAGAGCGAATCACCCCAAGGTATCAAGTAAGTAAGGAGTCCTTGATAACTCTCCTGCGTTTTTATGAGCCTCTATTTCAATAATCTGTCAGGAACTCGTTGAAAAAGAGTCAGCTCTTTCTTCTGATATCCGCATCGCGGAAATGAAATCCAAAGAGTTGTTCGCGAAGCAGGGACATAAGTAAGTTTACAAGTGAAAGAATAGTTACCTTTCTTTGAATCATCCTGTTTTATGAATGGGATGTTGCGGAGAGAATTTCCTTAAGAAGTTGTTAAATCTTTCTTCACCTAGGGATCAATTCAAGTCTGCAGAAGAACGGGACACTTTCCTTCGTCGAGAGGTGCGGCATATAACTCGTCAAATTGACGACACTGAAGAGCAAATGAAGGATATTGAGAAAAGTTTGGATGACGAAGCTCGTGAAGAAGAACAACTAACAACTCATGTCCAGGTATTTTAACAAAGTCGGCTTCTTACTCATCTAAAACAGACTCACATTATTATTCACTCTCAGGAGCTTGGCGTTGAACTTCACGAGAATCATATCCGCATGGATAAAGCCAGCTCCGAACATGGTCGCTTGAAACAAGAGTTTGATAGAGCAATGGTTGCTCAACTGTGAGTGAAGTGAACTTCAGTTTTTTTTTTTTGGTATGAAAGATTTCGGTAATTCATAGGAGTGAATAAAAAGCAATATTTCATACATAGTCACCGTACCGCAAAACGACCGTTTCCTTCTTTTTCGTTCTTTTCATTTTCTGGGATCCAACGTAAAAAATGTTTCAGAGATGCCACTCGTGAAGAGAAAGCTATTCGTGAGCAATTAACTACAATGAATGCAGAAATTGCACAGATGGAGCAACAGATGCGTTATTTAGCACCAAGGGTAGGCGAATATTTATTTAAAAAAGTGGATTCATCTTGCACTTTTTCGTTCCACGGATCCACTGTAAGGTACTAGTTGTAAAAGAATGGTTAGTGAAGTAATTTATCTCAACGCACATTCATTACAGTCCATTACAAATGGTGTGGAAGGCGTACGACGAATAGTGCAGTGGTTCCGTGATAATAACCATGATGGACGTCATGACGACGTTGTCAAAGGATACCACGGTACCTCGCCTCATTCTTCAATTTTCTTTTCAGAATTGGTGAAAGGACGATAGTAGTTGGAATACATTGGTTTGAAATTGAAATTCAGGTATCTTCTTGGACCTCATCGACTGTGATCCGATCTATTTCCAAGCAGTAGAGGTTACTGCTGGTAATCGACTGCTTTTCCATGTTGTTTCGGATGACAGGTAAGTTCAGTTCTAAGTTGACAGTCTACATACTCCTCAAGCTCCAATTGTGTATGGCAATTGAAAACTCGCTATTCAGGGTCGCTTTGAAAATAATGAAACAATTCAACCAGCAGAATTTGCCGGGAGAATGCAACTTTTTCCCGGTCAACAGAGTAGTTGGACCTCCTCGAAAGGAATATCAGGATGCTGTGAGTGCTAAGTTTTTTTGTTGTGTATAGGCACTACTTTCTAGAGGAAATTGAGGTTAGGCACTGGAAGAAATATATGTGTCTTTGATGCCGAGGCAGTTTAGTGATTATCACAGCTAGATTCCAAGAATTCGTGTTGAGAACATGAAGTACGCTATGCTTAATAGGGCAAACAGGAAACTAAGCTAAACTAAAGTTTAGACAGTTGAAGTGGGTGGTGGTCCCTCAAACTGAACCGTAACTTTGATTGCTTAAACCTTGCAGGATGGCCGCGCTATTTTGGATGTTTTCGACTATGATGAATATTACGACGCTGTGTTTCGTAATGTATTTGCTGGTTAGTTGTTGAAGCTTCCATAAACCAACGAAAGTACGTAGTTAATTGGTTTGTTAAGGTACCGCTATCGTTCGTGATCTTCATCTTGGTGCTCGTTTTGCTAGGAGTGAAGGATTCGATTGTGTGACTCTGGATGGGGATCAGGTTAGTTGTTCGGTTTTTTGCTTTACTTGGGTTTGATTCGAAGCGGGAAGAAGCTTAAATCGGTTCGGACTTATAATATACTGTTCAGATATCCAAACGGGGTGCTCTCACTGGTGGTTATATAGACACGAAAAGGTCAAAGCTGGAGTTGCACAAAAGTATTAAAGCCCAGAAGATGAATCGCGATCAGCTGCAGGTAAGGATTCGCTACCTCTAGTGATGTCTATGATCAGGGTTCTGTATATATCTGTAAAATCCGATTGAATCTGATGGAGTGTTAAGGTGACTCTGAACGAAATCCAACGCAAGGTGAATGAAAAGATGAGCGCCGTTGAAAAGTTGCAAATGGAAATCGATAAGGTGTGCTAGCCATATCCATTTATTGTGCGGTACGCGACCATTTTTCAGTTTTTTCACCATAGACCCTTCCTTAAGGCTGACAACGATATGCGTGTGTACAAGCAGCAGCATCGAGATCTCACTGAAAAGAAACGTTACGCGAGTGAGCAACTACATGCCATGGGAAGAAATCGTGAGCCAAAGGTAACTAAATATTTAGATGCGTGTTGGTCTAATATAGCATGTTTTTTCGGGCTCGGTTTTCGGGTCTAGTACCAGATCCATTTTTTTTGCGTTCCGTTCTCCCATTGACCAAATTATAGGATCCGAATTAGACATGGAAACCTTTTTTCTTTTTTCACTCGGAAAGAATTTTGATGTTATGGTCAATGACTTCTTGATTACAATATTCTAGAAAGCCCAGCTGCTCAATCTACGAAATCGTGTCCGTGAACTGCGTGCTCAATTGGACGGCTATGAAAGTCAAATAGGATCCGAATTCTTGTCTCAAATCAGCAAATCTGAGCAGTTGGAATGCGAACGATTGCAGGTTTTGTTAATACTATCAGAGGTTTTGTTAATACTATCAGAGTACTGAAGAGCCAGCCGAATAAAAATGCATTTTGCAGCGGGAAATCCTTGAAAAGAAGCAGCAACTGGACCAGGTGGCAAAACAGCGGAGCACGCTTGAGACAACAAAACAGCGGCTCGAGAATCAGCTCCGAACGAATCTTCTTCGTAAGAGAGACAGCCTAACTGCGGTAAGGGTCGACTTACCTTTGTAGTATTGGTAGTTCTTGTTTAGGAATTCGTAGAAAGTTCTGATTGGGACTCCCATTTCAGAAAATTAGTGACATCGCAGTTGACGAGAAGAGGCACAACTTGCAAGCAGAATCGGCAGAACTGAATTCGGTCATTCAAAGGTGAATTTTTAGTCTTGATTGTCGTAATAACTACCCTTATTAGTGTTGGTTCCCCTCTTACTCTCTGTTCCGAAATCTCACCACGTTCATTCGGTCTCTTTTGCCCTTGCGTGGAATTTCCAGGAGGACATTCTATTATTCAGTATATTTTGGCTTGAATTTTCGAATTGGAGCATCAACATTGTTTTCCCCTTATTTTTTTCTTCTCACTGTAGATTGAACGAAATTGTCCGCCGTATCGCTGAGCTCGATGAGCATCTGATGGAATACGAAGAAAGCGCCGAAAAGTTAAACAGAGAGCTAGAAGACGTACAGGTGAGGTATTATTGATTAAATTCCACGAATTCAACCGTATAGTGTTATTTTTAAAAGTGTTATTAAGAGTGGAGGACTTAAATAGAGGATATACTTTCGTGCTATTTCATTTCGCTTTTTTCCTTGAGTTATTCGTTAGGGAGTCCTGTACATAAACCGGAATTTAGTGATCATATGATGAAAGTTTTGGCGACAGAAGGAAATTGCATGCGATCTGGTCACAATCAAATTAAACATTCACCTGTAGCCCATTTTTATCTAATAACTAGCAAGCAAAGGAATACTTTCCAGAAATCAGGATCATAGTTGATTTAGAGAGAATTTTGGATGTCTCCATAATTCATCAATTTTTGCAGGAACAACAAAAAGACTTGGAAGCGCAGCTGGCGGACTTTTCTAAACAAGCAGACATAATATTTACTAAGCAGAGCACTCTGCAAAGTAAGCGAGAGGAAAATGTGAAGAAGGTCACTTTTCCTGTTCAATATGCTGTGTCTATGTTTTCTTGATACTGTGAGGTCGATTTCTTCGCATTTAAAAATCCGTCGACGCATATTATTTAAAATATTATAACAACCTCGGTACTCATTTTAATTGGAATTGAATAGAATTAGTTTTGCAAAAGATTTTAGATTCGTGAACTTGGCTCTCTACCGACGGATGCCTTTTCGAAATATCAAGGATTGACCACAAAACAGTTGGACAAGAAGTTAGCTGAGTGTATGCTCGAATTGAAGAAATACGAAAATGTGAACAAAAAGGTGAGTGAAGTAAAATTGCAATGCATTTCTCATTTACAGTGCGTATCATGAATTTGACTTGGAATTTTCTTTCGTTTGGATTATGACTTAATGGTGCATCCAGATTCCTTTGTTTGCGTGGATGGCAGCTATGTATGTTAGTTTTAGCCTCTGACAAGTATTACCACCAAGTGTCTAGTAACGTAGTAACTGAAGTACCTTGTTTCGGAGGGGCGACTCTTCTGCTTGACCTCTCGCAACTACTATTTTATGATTGCAATGTATAATTCGCGAACCTATAAAGTCAAACATGTTCGATGCGATTTTTATTACCGGCGTAGTGAAATGAGTGTATAGCTGAAGCAGTCACGGGATAAGCGGCGCTTGTGATGTGTTCAGGGTAAACCCACTACTTTGCTATAAAAGTGAACATAAACCTGATCTGTTGAGGCACTCGATCAATTCGTGCAAGCTGCCTCTCAAAAGGAAGAGCTAACCAAACGAATGGAGGAGCAGCATAAGAGTCAAAAGGTTATATCATTGAGTAAATAAATATTTGCTGTTTCATAAATAACTTTGTTTTTTAGGCGATTGAAGATCTACTCCAAGTTTTAGATACAAGAAAATTCGAGGCTATACAGTTAACCTTCAAACAGGTTCGCTGGTTTCCATTCGTTCCCGTTCTATGGTTATCAGTTAGCTTGGCTTGAACTCATATCATTTGATCTAATTTTTAGGTGTCGAAGAATTTTGTCGAAGTCTTTCAAAAGTTGGTTCCAAATGGTTCAGGATCGTTGGTTATTCAAACAGGCAAAGATGTAAGATTTCAAATTCGATTTGATTTCTTCTCCGCTATGGGAAGCATAACTGCTTTCGTTATTATTTAAGGATAGCATTGATGCCTCACAGCATGCAGACAGTCAACCTAGTCACATAGTGGAAAATTTTGTTGGTGTTGGAATAAAGGTATTGTTACTTGTAGGTTTTAACCACAAGGGAGGCTGGGTTTCCGCAATCAGATTTTGAAAATTGATTTTCAGGTGTCGTTCGACGGAGGCTCTGAAACGCGTGAAATGGTGCAGCTCTCAGGTGGACAGAAGTCATTGGTAGCCTTAGCTTTAATTTTTGCAATCCAAAAATGCGACCCAGCTCCTTTTTATCTGTTCGATGAGATCGATGCGGCACTGGATGCCCAACACAGAAAAGCTGTTGCAGGTTAGAAGCATCCAAGATTTGATGATTTTTCCTCCCTCATATCGTTAGCGAGCAGGTTTTAAAACAACTAATTATTAGTTCTTCAATGTGGACTCGCTAATGCGCTTGCGATATTTTTCATAGTTCCACAGTATCCCAGTACAACTTGAGAGACATTTTTTAGGCCTTTATTTTGCCTAGGACTGAGTGTAATATTTGTCGGATGAGTTTAGACATAAATAGCTCAGTTGTTAGATTAGGTAGTTTACGGAAATCTCCGGGAAAAGAGTATTTTTCTTGCAGACATGATTCATGAGTTAGCGGAAAATGCTCAATTCATCACCACAACCTTCCGACCGGAACTGCTAGAGTCAGCGGAAAAGTATTATGGAGTGAAGTTTAGGAACAAGGTAATTTTTTAATGATTTTTTATCAGGGATCTCGATACTACTGTTCTAATTTGCCATTATTTCTTTTATATATTGATTACATGATTGTGAGGCCTTCTGCATTTAGTATTTGAAAGTAATGGATGCTTTCCTTCAGTATTACATTGTCATACTTGAATTCGGTAATTATTTTGTTATTCACAAAAGAGAAAGCAGAGATACTGTAAAAAAAAACATGTTTTGATTTGGTGGGATGTATTTTAATTTGATTTTGTAATATTTTTATATTCTTTACTACATCTTTACACATCGGCACAATTTTGAACATTAATTTATCCAAGTCTAGTATTTTCTATATCTTTTTCGTTCTAATTCCAAAATTGCAATTTATTTCTATAGGTTTCTCATATTGATGTCGTGACAAAAGAACAAGCGTATGATTTCGTTGAAGACGATACAACTCACGGATAATCTGATGGTCAATTCCAACTCATTTTAATGATTAGCATATCTGTAGCATGAAGTTCAACTTCTTATGTTTGGGCTTTTCACTTTCTATGTTTTTTGTGTTTTTTATTTGAATTTCTAAGGATGGAAAGCGTATGTAATTATAGAGCTCGCCGTGTTTCTTTTGTAAATATTATCACTGCTATCTTTTTGAAGTTTTCTTTTCCTCGTCATAGTGTATATTTTATCAAAGATCTGTCACAGCGGTGTGGAGGACCTGTACCATTGATCTCTCGTCACTAAAGAATTTGTCGGATTCTTTTTGCTGTCTTTTCACACCAACTTTTACTCTGTCAAGGTAAACTGGGCATTCAAATGCTTTCATTTTTCTGAGCGAAAGACCAAAATGTGGGTAATCTCGAAGGGGGAAGGCTGTTGCCTAATTTATAATATCATTGATGTAAGTTAATGAAAGGATATCGATGGATCAGTAGTATCGGATGGACGATGCTAATTAGTTATACCAACGAATTTCTTGGGTGTATATTATGTTCTCCTCGAGGACAACCGTTAGACGACCTTCAATTAACGACCACTTATGTGCCTTTGATGTTCGTTTAATGGACTTTCAGGCTGCCTACTATCATAAATCAAAGCTAACATTCCGAGCAGTACCCTCAGGTGTCACCTGTCGTTCTAAGAAACATTCACCTTGAGCGCTTCGGTAGACCTTCAACAGAGTACAAGAGAAACTTTACAAGAAAGTTACATCACGATTCTGAAAAAAAAACCTCTGACTTTGTGAAGAACGACCTAAACCATTCTTCGAAAGACCACAGGGGGAGAGGGGGTTGGGAAAACGCATTGATGAGGGGTCGTTAGGCTTGGAGAGACACTGGATAAATAAATAGATTGGGATTTTACTGTGTCGAACAATCTGTTGTTATCGCTTCACCCCTGTTATATGGACACCTCCGAAAAAATTTAGCCAATTCCAATCGGAACACCATAGGAATGGTGAAGCGAAGCAGTCAGCTGGTGGATATTTCACATGCCCAACCAACTTGTTAATTGTAAACAACAAATAAAAAGTTGAACAGATGAGTAAATTAATAGTGATAGAGATCAATGTTGATTATCGAATTGATTAAGTAAATTAATACTTGCGTAAGTAATAGTAAACTACCGAGTCAACAACTAACCATTGTCGTAGGTCTGTTCTCTTTGATCAACGAGTCACGTTTGCAGGACGAAGTGCGTCACAATAATGGGGCAACAAACGCGTTGCAGTAAATTGACGTCATGTAAGCTGCTCTTACGTGCGGACGAATTGATGACATCTCATCCAGTAGGAGCCCTTGAGCCCTAGCACGTCATCCTTTACAGGGATCATGACCCGTAGAAATTAGCGTCAGATGCTGGTTCATTCTTTGTAATTCAAGTTCACTCATTGTTGTTGGAAGTCTCTTTTAGGGTTTTTTGATCAACGGAACAGGCTCAAGCAATGAGAGGACAATGGTCTTCATTAGGTAGCCCCCACGTCTCTGAGCGGTTTAGGGTGTCATACTGGGATCGTTCTCAAATCCAGTTTTCACGTGCAACATAGCCCTTCTAACAGTTTGTGCTGTTCTGTTAGGGGTTAGCGAGTGATTAATGTGCTCATGATGGGGGTGAGGTGTTGTGAGAGACCCTCACACCGCTCATTCGTTGTTGTAACATCAGCCACGACCTCCAGTATCAACACTTTGCTCGGTGTTCACATCATCTCAATAGATCTACGACTGTTCAGTACATGTTTGAATGACGTCCGTTCTCGTCCGGAATACGCACGAAAATATCCCTTCCAAATGCCACGCCCTCAGAACACACCGGATCACGAGGGTCGAGGCCCAATGGTACCCGCCGACAACTCTTTGCACGACCCTTCGCATCCAAAGTCCAGCTCAGCATTGACGTATTTTTGATGTAGTTTGGTTTTGCGGAAAGAAGTGTTATATATCGCATAGCATAGAAACCGTCTACTTTTTCGAAATTTTCGTTCATCATGCAGTTTGTCCTCCGTCTGCAAGTCGACCTTACATTATACGTCACAATGCTAGGGTCTAATCCAACTCGAGCCCTTTCACCCCATTGTGTGGATACTCGGTGTTGACATACTTGTTTGAAAGATATTTTCGCCGTTATATAGCAGCTCTCCTCCCACGTGCAGGCTAAAATGCGGAAGGCTAAGATTTTCCTTCAAATAAGCTATGCCTCTGTACCTTTTCTACTCGTGGTCTGAGTGGGAGGTGAAGGTCGTTTACTGGGTATTTGGGTGCATGGCGTAATCCAAAGGGTTGATTGTGAGTCATTAAAGAGTTCATGGACAGAGCCATAGAATCTTATTATTTTCTTCTTTTTTTTCTATCACCTTCCTGTTCTTTCTGTATATCATCTTTTTCATGAACTGATTGCCACGATGACTTGATTCCATAAGCAGAGAATTCTTTTCTACCCGGAAACCTACAGTAAGAACAGGGGTCTAAGCTTGACTATTCAAGTATGTAGCTACAGTTATTGGTAAACGATGAGTTTATGAGGCCCTGCTTTCCGAATATAACATCAATGCATGAATGATTCTGAGAGTTATTTCAGCTTTTCATTGCACGCAATCTGCGTCACTGCTCATGAAGAGCTTTTTCTCATAATATTCCTGAAAGATTAAATTATTACAAGTTGTATGGAAGTGGGTAGTTTTCGAATTGCTTTACAGTAGTTTGTTGGATTTCACAAAACTATGCAATCGATATGTGATAATTTTGGATGGTTAGCGATATTGAATGAGCATTGCCAATGAGGGCTAAGAGAAGAAGTTAGCGGAGTAATTTCCGAAAGAAGTTCAGAGGGAAAGGAAAGGATGGGTGATTGCTGTGAAACTGATTGAGCTCATGTTTTTTCATAAGTTTTATTGAATTCGGAAAACCTTCTAACAAAGGAATATGAAAAACGTGGCGAAACGACGTAGGTGGAGCAGTGGTAAGGAGAACGCTACCATTCACATGCTTCAGAGATCGAATGCCCGATCGATCCGCTCGTAGCCAGATCTTCTAGCCCTCTAAAGTTTGTTGCTTGTTGCCAGACTTGTCTGGGATCCAAAAAGAACTTGCCCTTAGGCTGGTACCCAGATAACAATTGTAGCTCTCAAATGCCTCTGCGACTCTGAAGCGAGACGACGGCATGGGTTATAACAACGTCATCTTTTGAGCATCTCCTATTCCACGGAATTTCATAAATAGTTGATAATCATTACGTGATTGACTTCCACCTAAACACACTGAAGCCCAAAACATCCAAATACTTGACGACGCCCACCAGAAATAGGCCATAGTAGTCGTCTGATGATGAACTGCCTTCAGATCTATATATGCTCGTTCGTGTGGACATCCTAGATGGCAACAGAGCGTCATCATTCATTCACTAACAACAACAATAAGGGCAGACATAGATGTTTCCGATGTATTTCCTTCAAAATTGCCCTTTTGCTTTTGTTCTGAGCATAGAACTTCTCGAACTTGGGTTATAGCTTCGACCATTGTTCACATCATTACACTGGATGACTAGCGAAGTTCTCTCGACATGGTCGGCTCCTTTTAACCTGCTCCGCGGCTTTGTTTAGGGACATCCTGTGGCTTTTATTTCACTTATTTACCTTTTCACACGATGCCATCTCCTAGGCATTCAAAATTTGCCATTCTTATTCTATCTAGTCGCATTGATAAAGGGTATATCTTATTTGTGTGGCCGCAGTACTTCGCTTTAACAATAACTTTTTTTTGAATGGCAGAGTTTCGTAGGCAACTTACTACCTTGACTTCGGTAGTACTTACTACCTTTGGCTGAGGCATTGCCCAGTCCCGTTGAATAATGTTTCAGCCGAGCGGTAACATCGTCATGACATACATAACCCCATGAATCTAGGAAAAATGCAAACCAACCCTAAAAAGAGAAAGGAGAGGAACTAAAAACAACATTCTCGACTTTTTCCGATCGAAAAAAAGTAAGCCACACTCAGATTGATCCACTCCAGACATGATCAGAGCTTTCGAGTTTCCTTTGGCTGGCGTTTTCCCAAGGCGTTCACATTCCCCGTTAGTGTCTCATTGAGGTAGGAAATACAAGACTGATGGCTTCCAGATGTTCTGCTCTAAGAGACTTTTTTCAAACAAGTAGACATGAGCTTGAAATACATGTATAAGTAGGGCTGGGGACAAGGAATGGCGTAGTTCCAAGACAAAAACCTACAGGTAAGTTCCAAAGGTCTAGAAAGTTCGGTTAAGCAGGGCGACGCTCGCAATCAGTTCGAGATAGCTCCTGAGACTCTTCAGCCAATTCTACAATATTGGCTTCTACTAGATCTATGTGGCTGATTACAAATTCATTTTACCAAAGTTCTTTGATAAACGACGGCAAAATCTGTTTCCAGTGCCACACAACTGGAGAATGGATTCTCTAGGGAAACCATGCATGGCTTAATAATTGAGAGGTTACTCCGTACTGACTTAATGGTCCATGCCATCAACCCTTTCCTGCCTTTGCTCAGTCGGCAAAAAATCGGAGCTAGCCAAACCAGGAGGTATAATTGACCACCTAACTCACAAAATGCTAGCACATTCCCAAGTTACTAGGGCTCTATTTAAAGCAGGTGGCCCAGTGCAAAGGGCTCGAGTGATCGGGGCCAAGTACTTTATCCAACAGTAACTAGTTAGATCTATATGCTGTATGAGTGATTGCTAGTAGAGGGAGAGAGTCGAGACCAAGCGAAAGATCAATTATTCGCTTTCCTGCTTAAATAACAACTTGCCAGAGGGAGAGGCTGCTGTTGCTGCGGCATGACTGCCACAGAGCCGAGCCGCACTTCCCGGTTGTTGGCCCACCGTCATTCGGGCAATTTGTGAACCTTGACGAACGGACCCGCTCTAGATCCGCTGTTTGATTTGCTTCAACCCATACGTAAATATGATAAGTTTACGTTCTCTGTGGCCCCCATCCATATCTCCATAACTACTTTCTTTACATTTTTTGTTCACTACGGTAGTAGCACATACCTTCGGAGGCAATTTTCTTCATTCTCCGGATATTTCACTGGCAACTAGCTTGATATCTTCAATGTTTATTTACTTTTTTAGTGGATTCTCGTATTTTGTGCTGAAGCCATCAAAACAGCCCTAAATTTTCCCTGCTGTAGAACTAAAATCGACATAGTTGTTAGACCTTGAAGTTTTTTGTTCCTTCAAAGCTATGTATCCTTCAGAAAGACTCGTCCAAACTTCAATATGCTTGTCTAAGTAAGGTTTCTCACTGACCATTCATGTAACTCTCTATAGTCTGCGCCAAGCATTCCTTTAGAGGTTATAAAAACAGTAAGGAGCTATACTGCGCTTACTAAATAAATTGCCGGAAGTTAGCCTGGACAGCTGATGTAAGCCCTATGGATTTCTCCACCTAGCCAGGTGGGCTCTATTTCATCGGCCTCAGAGTAAAGGATAACTCACTTGGCCTGAGCAGTTCCGATCTGATTCCATTGATTTTCTGATTTGATCCATTAACCATGGGATCAGTAGCGCAGCCGCTTTGCAATGCTCCATTCTTTTCAAGGTGCTTTTCATTGTTAAGAATGTCTTCACTTGTGCATTGAGTGATAATCACATGACTGACCATTTTAAAAATTCTTTTCAAAGTTTTGGGGGAAGTTTTACATTTTCTAGCGAATTCAGCAACTAAGGATCTCAAGAAGACCCCTATCATTGTGGCTGGCTAAATCCTTTCGTTCTATGCTGTCTGTTCTGTCAACTCTGTATGGCTTGAGATAATGCTTTTCTAATGAAAATTGGATCATGATGTAGCTGCTGGAATATTGAAAATAGACCTCCCTTCATTTATCAGAGAGAGAGCGCTAGCGCATCACGACTTTGATCGAGAACCTTTGGCTTTTTCTTCCCCTTTCGCATTTGTCTGTCTTTAACGCTTGACACTGACAGCCGGTGTCAAAAGGGTTTTGCCTGTTTCCCTGCTCCGAACGACTAAATTCATGTGACTTACTAACCACATCGCCTCTCTCTTTGTTTTTAAGTCATTAATGAAAATATGAAGCCCCGATTCAATTTAGAATTGAATGGAGCCAAAGCTACGCATGCCTCTGGGATGGGCGATTCCAAAGGGAGAAGGTTCTGAATAGATTTGTCTCTGTTCAGAAAAATGGTCCAATAATATTGCTGAAAATGTGCAATAAACGGTGCCCCTGAACTCATAGAGTGTCATTTTGATGAGAGAACGCAGACGATAGCAGAAAAATAGGGTCCTATTGGGAGGAGTAGCGTAATTGGGTTAGCATGACAGAGTAATACTTTTCTTGGAACCCATTCCAACTGATCAGAACAATAACGATGACCTTATGGCAAACTTTCTTGGAATCCTGGGTCATTGTACAGCATCATAGAACTTTTAGCTGTGATTTGTGGCACTGTCCTTGTGGTAACAGTTGCTTTCGTGGCCTATCTCTGGATTGGTGATGTCTCAAGCCAAATTTGCTTTTTCGACCTCTCCCAAGCCAGGTTGGCCTACTCTTCCGCGACACTGAGTTGGTACATGACTTATTTCGAAGCTCAATAGCTTATGGCGTATTTCAGCAAATAAGTTGGCCTTCAGTTCTTCCTCAGCTTCCCCGTTTTTTGTTGAATGTGTACTAAATTTAATAAGGTCAGAAAGTCCGTGTTTTCAAAATTCTCCTTTCACTTTGTTCATGTATTAATGACGTGCTAAAATGCTTCGAAGCTATTTTGTATTGATGGCGTTCATCGTGCAAAAGTTGCTGTGCGAGAAAACTTTGAACGGAAAACGTTTGAGTGAAATCCGAGACGATGGTCGGCGTCAGTGACACCGTTTTTGTTTTGAAGTGTTATTTCGGCAGTTGCCATGGCTGACTAACTATGTGGATCGAGTTATTATCTAAAGGCCTCTTGTTTAAGAGCTATAGAGGCTATGCCATCCCATTCCAGAGCTTTTGGAGATCTCGTATAACAGTTTTTCGATGTTAACTGTTTTGGGATAGTGCATTTCTCCAAGGAGGTCAGGCCATTGAAGGCGGAGCAGCTTATACATAACGGTTCTGATAGAATGCAAAGGATGTTGGAGTAATCTGTCAGTTGGAAACCCAACAAAAGAGCTCCCTGATAAGACGCAGAATGAGGCATGACCTTACCAGTTTCCTCTGAAGACTTCTTGCCATTGTTTCGTTCGTTTTATTCCTTCGCATTTCATCCAACACCGTGCTGCTGGATTATGAAGTTTTGAAGAGCTTGAAAGAAGGGTTGGAAGCTAGCAAAACATAAGATGAATAGATGAGACCGGTGCTGGTAACAACTGTATAGTTAATTGTTATGAGATAGCAACTATTTGACTACGAAAACCAAAATCGTGGACGGTTGAAAGCTTAGTGAAAATTTCGATGCAAACTTAATTTTAAGTAAAGAGGTTGTTTATTTCCCGAGCCCATTTTTGACTATAAACGAACAAATAATACCAATTTAATTCAGAATTCGAATTACTTCCCATTTCGCATCAAGGTGTTATCAATGGGGTCTGCTTGATAGGAAATATTTTTCTCTCCCTCCTCCCTACCCTTTTCCTTCCTGAGTGAACTTTTTGGCTTTTTTTGAGCTGAAATTGATTACACCACCACAAACCAGTCCATAAAATTGAAATTTATAGCTTTTCTGAAATTAATGACATGTGAGACTATTCTAGACGATGTTGTACTTAGCAAAACAGATGGCAGGCATCTGGGAGAAAGCCTGAACACTTCGTAGGTGCTTTCGAAGGTCGAATTTCACTTTAACGAGTTTTATGACCATGGTAACATGACCCCTGGTATTTTTATCGAAAAGACTCGTCAATCAGCGATTCTAAGCCCTATAAGTTGGCAAACAAATAGCTCATTCCTAGATTGGGACCCCTTTTCTTTAGTTACATCGAAATTGATTAAGTATGCCCAGTTCATTGAAGCTGAACCTTGCACCTCGTCTTCAAAAGAGCCTGATAGGGACGAAAACTAGCTTTCCCGACCAAGTACAGGTACCAATTTCAGGAAGACGGCGTTAAACCAGTAAACCAACACCGGCGTTGATTGACAATGGAACCATCAAGATCATTTGTTCTATCCATTCTTCCCATTGCATCGTTCGCTACTAGTTTTGTAAAAACGCCTCATGGGAGTGAGGTTCTTTTCAAGCAACCTGGGTATATCATCGGGAAAACAGCCCATTACATTCCTCTTCAAATGACTCGGAAAACGAGGGCAAGCGGGGTTCCGTTAGTGTGAGGGATAAACTCTTGCAGCATGATAACGAAGAGATAAATTCTACATTCTTGCCTAAAATCTGCAACCAGACCTACCGTCAGTGGGCCATTGTTCTGAGTTTAATTGCCCCTCCCTCCCCCTAAAGTATTCGGGATAAATGTGCAGATTAGTTTGCAAGTAAAATTGATTAGCAGCCAGCAGTACATCTTGGCAGCATGTGTATATGTACGTGCAGAACTGATTATTCCTCGTCTACTGTCATGCGAGTGTTTAACATTCCTCACTACTGTCTCCTACCATTAAAAAGATACCTTGAAAACAGATCCAAGAGGTCAGTTGCTCAGCTACAATCCACTGAAAAAGTTAACGTCTAGGAAAATTCCATGATGGAGACAAGGAGAGAGCAAGGAAGAGGACAAGAATGAGGGGGTTCCTCCTATAATTTCTTGCATGGTTTTCGTATGCCGCTAATGTTTACTCTAGTGTAAGGAGGCCTACACACTTTAACAGAAAGTCCTGAGGCTACAAGCTGTATTTCACCGATGCATGCATAGAAGGGAAAGTATCCCGCTCGTAGAGACCCCCGAGGAAATTATTTGCCAGTGCCGCTTCCTTACATTTCCTGTACACACGCTTTCGAAACCAAAGTAGGCGTTCTGAAAAAGCCTCCCACTATTAGGGAGAACTGCCGGGTCACTACAAACAATCGCTCGCTACTTCTCCAATCCATGAAATTCGTTCGCATATTTGTTTGGGAGCGAAAAAATCAAAAGTCAATATGTATACCAACAGACCTTTAGAATGCTAGTAAAGCTTTCAGTGGCGGAGGTAGTGTAGTAGCAAGTAGTGCCCTAGCACCCTCGTATGCGTATCCTGGAACGACACTTGCCCAAACCAACGAAGCCTTTCATTTTTCGGGGTTGGACAGCTGGTGCCGGACTCGTTTGAAAGGTAAAAACCTGAATTATGCATTGGCCTGCCATAGCAAGTCATAGTGTAAGCCATATACGGATCCAAACGCCACTACGGTTCTGAATTGAAGTGAAATGCATAGGCGCATTCCAGAAAGGGGACTGCTTAACGCTAAACACTTTGCCCTTGATCCTTTTGATATTCACTCCATAGTTGCTGCTGTTCAGGCCCTTTTTCTGAACAATTTCGAAAGTTCGAAGAGTTTTGTGCTGACGTGCAGCTTCACGGCCATTTCTCTTTACAGGCACTCACACACGGTCCGGTTCTCAGCCGCCATTGTCATCATCATTGAATCGGAATTGTTGTAGTAGCTAGTTGTACGCCTTCTGGGCGACAATAATGACAATCAGCTATTCTGACACTTTTGTGAGGCTATTATTTCGATGGAAAGGTTCATTATGGAAAGCTATATGGCGACATTTACTGGTGTTTTTATTTCTTTATTATTCAATAAATGTTGTTTATCGGTGAGTTTTTTTTNTTTTTTTTCAAGTGAATTTATCTATTTATTTATTATTTATTTATGATTTAATGCATATTTCCTTCAAACAGCTTGATTGGTCAATCATGACAAATTGTGCCATGATTGGCCAGCTTGATCTCCTTGAAGCTTGAGAGAGAGCGAAAACTCAGTATCAGCCTACATAAGTACTTACACTTTGAGGGTACTTGTTTATTTGCTAAGTTTACAAATAACTTCATAAAATGCTGGATATTCCGGTGTGAATAAATTGTTGATATGAGGGATGTAGATGTTCTTTCTGGAATCCTTTGCTCTTCTGCACATGACGGCTTCTTCTTGTCAGAGTCAAACAACGAGATTCTAAGCGGCTTTTCTCATGTCTGTCAGTTGTTCACGGAATTTCTTCTTCTTCAAAACTTTTTTCTTTTCAGGTTTGTAATGACACAAAAGCAGCAAGAGCTGTTTGTAAAATATGTGGTATTATTTGACAGTTGGACAAAAGAAATTCCGCTGACATTTCTTTTAGGTTTCTACGTAGCCATGATTATTCGAAGGTGAGTCAGTTGAAATCAGGGGTCTTAGAATAGTATAACATAAAGTATAGGTATTGATCATATAAGCAATGAATGAGCAAGGAGTTTGAGAGTAATGATCATTTCAGGTGGTGGGATTGTTGTCAGCTGATCAGCTGGCCGGATCATCTCCTCTATAATGTCTCGGCATTGATTCGAGGACATGATGTGAGCTCTACAGCAGCTACAGTAACGTTTATCCAACTAGGACACTCGAAACAATGCCACTTTTCAGCCTGAAACACGAATCATTCGTAAGACAATAGCTCGATATGCGATTCTATCGTCAGTACTGGCTTGGCGAAGCATATCGTTACGGGTTCTCACCAGGTATCCTACAGATGAGCACCTCATGGACTCAGGCTTAATTACGAAGGAAGAAATGGCTATATTCAAAACGATCCACGTTCGGGTTGATCCTCACCAGGTATGTTGGATACTGTATTTCAGAAGTCATTCTGAAGCCCTGTCTATGGGCATAATCTGCAAGGACTAACCAAGGCCATAATCTGCAGTGAGCAAGTTCGGGATGACCCCTTACTCGTACGTATAAGTACTTACCTAGAGTCCCCCTCCCCCCTCTTCCATTTTTTTCTGATGGACTTTAAACTGATTTACTTGTTTCAATACAGAAATGGTTCGTACCGATCAACTGGATTCAAACAATGATGGTCCGATGTTTCGAGAAAGGAACTCTTGGTCATACAAATGAATTACGTGTACTGTTGGATGCACTTGAAAAGTATCGTAACGGCTTTTTCCAGTTATTCATCTATGATTGGATTGCCATTCCGCTGGTTTATACTCAGGTTTGTGCCTATCAGTTGAACTCGTTAACTAATCTCTTTCATTTATTTCATATCGTCACTACAAATTCTGCTCACCCAATTAGACACTTTTCGCCGTCGTTTTGCGCGACTTTATCTATATGACTGGATCATGATTCCACTCGTATACACCCAGGTGCGTCTGGCGTGCCCGTCCGTGCTCTTCCCTCCCTACTGCTGTGAACGTCCAGCACGAATCTCCTCTGTTGTAATGATGTCTGGAAAAATATTTAGAACGGCTGGTATATAAATTATTCCTTTAAGCAAGATTTTCTGAGCGGGTGCTCTCTACAATATATTATGAGCGGTGTAATTTACACTATATTCCAGAACGTTTCGCCTCTGACTTGTCATGTAATAAATGCCCTTTTTTTGATGGGTGCATGCCTCTCAGGTAGATTTGAAAAAGTAAAATGACTACTCATTACGAAAAGTTAGGCTGTTTGTCCCAATACTCCGCCCCGTTTTTTAAATCCCACATCGATACTTCCTATATTGATCTTCCGGCCGGCCAGTATAATTTACATTGAGTAATCTTGCCAAGGTCTTCAGTTGTTCTGCCTATGATACTGTTTTCCTCCGAAAAATGGTAGATGAAAACTTCATCCTTGCTATGTTATGCTGTATTAGTTCCGATTCCACCACAATGCAGTCGGAGCTACCACCAACATCTCCTCTGCCTTAGGCCCTGGTGCTAGGTGCTCTTCACCATTGCACTATGGTAAAATAGTCCGATCGGTTTTGCTCAACGACTTGGAAGACGAACCACACCCTCGAAGGCCGTTCCCGAGGCCTACTGAGTTATCTAAAAACTTTGGTGGAAGAGCTTCGTTTGATCTCTTCTAATACTCTGCTACTACGATGCCACACCACATGATTCGATGATGACACAGCTCGAGATCATGAGACTTGGCTGAGAATTTTACTGCACCCTCCTACAGCCCTGATCGAGTCCCTGTTGATTGCACTTATTCTTATCCCTTAGTAGCCACCTCGAAGGAAAAATACGACTCTCGGAAAAGCTTTTCAGACCAAAACCTATCGCTGAATAAGTGATTACAAGGATACCTCAGATTCAAGCAATCACCGATCAGTCCTACGCTGGCATACGCCTATACATCAAACATCAACTCAGGAGGTTGTGACTTCAAATACATATTTGATCTGGCAACTATAGGAGTTTGACGCAGCACTGAAGATACTGACACATCTTCCCTGACGAATGCGGTACGAAGAAGAAATGGACACCGTAGTGTCGGAAGACTCAGCTGACTTGAGATTCGTTTCCCACGTATGACAGGGACGCCTTGCAGTAACTCATTTTCACCAGGTGAAGCACAGTGGGAACAGAGAATTTTGTCTACTTCAACAGTGGGAACCCTGTTTGCAACCAATTCGTACTATTAAATGCTTGCCGGGATAACTTCAAATCTTCATTCGAAGTAATAAGGGCTTCCTCGGGCTTTTTTGAGCGGCTTGTGGGCACGTGAACGCCCACGCAATGCTGTCAAATATGTCACAATATCATTTGAAACACAACTAGCCAACAAAGAGTATTGATTACATGCTGTTATATAGCTTTACATATTAATCAGAACTAATTTTCTGCATTTCCTCACTTACAAGAATTACCGAGCAATAATAACATTTTGTGTGCAGATTGAACATTCAAACATCTCGTTGTTCAGAAATCTTGCATCCTTCTGGGTCCGTCACATTGGACCAGATGCTTTTGATAAGGAAATTTCTATTTTCTCGAAGCCAAATCTGTAGACACAGCAAACGATCTTGTTCTTGAAGTTGATCATGCCACTTGGGTTAGGCAGTCTCTTCTTCGTAGTTAACAGCATTGCTTTATCTCGTCCTCAACAAAATTCAGCTCGTATCTGGGAAGTGAGGGGTCTCGTTCTCTAGTAGGCGAGTGTCTAAAGCTGCCACGCGGATGACTAATACGCGACCAGTATAACTCGAGATTCCCTCAAGCACCAACAATCAGATAACAAGCTTTATCTAATGGTTAGTAATGTAGCAACATACACTTCGAACAACTGAGGATATGTGCACGCAGCAGAGATCACGAGCAGCGATTACGATCAATAGTACAATAGAGGTACAATAGAGTGTCTTACGTTCCTGCCCTCGGCTTATATAGCGTGGTTTCCCGCGCAATTCAGGCCACGTGATCTTTCGCGCGGGAAACGGTAGGACGGCTTGTAAGACGGCTTGCCGTCAGGATGACTGGCCATTAAGTGAAGTGTTTCTTGCTCACTTACACAACTCATGAGCTTCTACCCCCTTAGGATTGCACAACGCCTCATTTTGGAAAGCCACATATGTGACGGGTTTCCTCTTGTTGTCTTCTTTAGTGTGGTTGATCTGTCGAAAGGTCCGCCACAGGTTAAAAGCCGGAGCTTTGTGTTCACTCAGTCGAGGAATTCTGATTGAACACTAATTGAGGCTTATCTTGTGGAGAATCGCAAACTCCACGTGTGCTGCTTAGTAAGGCTCTTGTATTCACCGGAAATAGTCATCAAAGCTGAAACTATTTTACAGTTACCTTCTCATTTGAATACGAACTTCCGGTGAATCATAAGGGCGAGGGTATCGCTCAGTTTATTTCAGTGACGAAGGTAGATACGAACACCCTTCATAGTTAGCTGATAATTTTGACATCATAGAGAAATGATACATTGGTCGCGGGAGCTGCTAAATGTTGGTAGTTGATCGTAACGTAATAGAGTGCCATTATGTAGTGATTTCCTTATGGCAAGACGGGTGGAAGCATCACACTTGCCGTTCTTTCTTTCCTTTCAAGCATAACCGCTTCGGAGACTAATCGTAGCAAACTCCTTTCTACTTCCTTACTAGCAAATTATAGGTGTCCACTATATCGGTATATGGATATTTTGCGTTTGCTCTGATCGGGCGACAATTCCCAAGCCAAAATGAGTACAGGGAAACGGTAGATATGTGAGTCCTTTTTCGTTTAATATCTGTATTGCTACATGAATTCTTCCAGTCTTACCAATCATGCCATACACATTACGATAATTTAATTTTGCAAATGTTACTGAATAAGATAGAATGCAAATTTTATCTTATTAATAGAATGCAAATTTAGGTACGTACCAATATTCACCATCCTCCAGTTTTTGTTTTTTGTTGGGTGGCTGAAAGTCGGCGAAGATTTGATGTTTCCGTTTGGGGCTGATGACGAAGATTTTGAATTCAATTATATTCTTGAGCGCAATCTGGAGGCGAGTAAGCTTTGCATTTTTATTGTGTTCACAAAAAAGAATCAAAACAAATAAGCACAACAATGAAACAGTACAAAACAAACAACAAACTGACTAACACAAAGGATGTTATTTGTAACAGACATCACATGAATACTAAAACCGGGAAAAACCTCCTTCCAGAGAGGAGCTCTGGAGCATGAGAAGCTCTGGTTTATAAATAATATGTTGCTTATACCATGTTCGAACTGTTTCTATCGCTAGTTTCCAACTAGATCGATAACCATGATCAAGAATTGAAATTAGATGAGAGCTGCACCTAAATCACACTCTGACTTTCGAAATGAGTTATATTTCAGATGGCTTACTTAATCGTCGACGAACTTCATAACCAAGTGCCACCGGTGTATGTGGAGTCGCTCGATGACAAGGTTGAGGTAAGTCTTCAATTCTTCACAAAAAACTGGGATCGTCTGTATAAATCTTCGCAGGTGTTGCACAAACTATCAAAATCCAATAATTTGTCATGGGATCTTTCATGGCCATTAGACAGGGATCTTCAAGTTCATCCTCCCTATTCACAGTTTCTGTCGTTAATACGTACCATTCATCCCTGGGTAGTATGATGTCATTCTGATAATTGGTTTCCCTCCTTTACACTTGACTTTTTATTTTCCCTTCGCTTTGTCATTTGACAAGAAACATTCCAGTTGATGCATACAAAGGCGTCCATACAACTGTCGAACCATCCGCAACGGCAGCATCTGAGGAAGTACAAAATGAAACCAGACGCAATGCAGATTTCTAGGGATTCCTCGCTGAAGAAAGGTACATTTTCAAGGACCATTTCTGTCATACATCAGTTTTTTACCATTTCATTCACATTAGAACTCGGACATTTTGAAGGCAGAAGTCGTCCAACGATACTCAATAATGGTGCTGTTTCTCCAGGGTAGGACATTTTATATATAAATGAAAACTTTTCTATTGTCATACGAACAAATACATATATCGTAAGCTTCTACAGATAGTGAGGCCCTGGAAAATTAAATAACACTCTAACCTAACATTGTGATGGATTCGGTCTGACCTGACTCCAAAAAGCAAGAGTCATACTAATCAAGTAGTGGGGACTGTCACGCTGCTGTAACAATGGTGGGGGTTTTCCGCTCCTTTTGTTCAAAAGCTGGCTGGTTTTTGCTTTGTTCGAAGGTGGTTCCGGAGGTTTACATCAAGGGGCATGAAGGCCACTGAAGAATAACGAAAAGACTGACCATCAAATTTTCACAATCATGCAATTTTGTCTGCGCAAGAAGAGCTAAGAGTCTGTCGATTGTGATAAACGATGTGGACCATTACACAACCCCTCCCTGAGAAAAAGATCAATAAAGTATGCAAACAGACCGGATACCACAAATACCTCCTTGTCGAATGTTACTCTGTTTTCGCTGAGTCGAAATTTTCTTGTAAGAGGGCCGCAAAAATCATGCATCAGCGTGATACACGTTAACACGTTGGCGACAACGCGCGTTTCGGCATTTTTGGCGGCTTTCGACCGTCGCAATATTTACGGCCCCGTCGACCGCGGGATTTCGAAGCTTGAGAGTGTAAACTACCTCCAACTACATATCGCTACTTAGTAAATTGATTAATAAAATGAGAAACACACAAAAGGGTTCTATAGAATAAATATTCCGCTTTAACAAAAGCTTATACAGATATGAAAATGGCTGGGAGAGAAGGAAACTCGGAAGATGCTTTACAACTCGGCCATCTTCTGACATAGAACTTGAACCCCTCAATGGTGTTAAGACTCAAATTCAATAGCTTGCTTTCAATATTTTCCTTTAACCTACTTATTGATCTCAGTTAAAGTGTCGATGTTTGAAGTAGGCTCATAATTTTGTGGGACTTGAAAACCTGTGTGAAGATGAAGCGTATCTGATCATTTTATGAACCATTCTGTTTGTAGCTTTGTTACTGCTTGGTCTATAATATAAACACAAAAAACATATGAATGAATCACGCATGCGCAAAAAAAATTGCGAAATGAGCGCGGGACACATGTGTCCCGCGTTGTCCCACGTGGTATGCGAAAGGCGGGACATACATATATGTACCGCGCTGTCGTCAACGTGTTAAGTGAAGCTAGCTCGACATATGGCGACGATACTGCTTGTTAAGTTTTTGACTTATTGAGAGGCTCTTTCTTCTGTTTTCCGTTAATCTCTTTTCATCGTTACAAATCGTTTTGCACTTTCTTGCATGAGCTCTTGCTCTTCCTTCTGTTCCTGAGAATGTGATGATACGTGCAGCAATCGTTCCTAGTATTGCTGCTCAGCTGTTCCTGCTCGATCTCGGGTTCAACTGACGAATCATTATCTCGAAGATTTCGGGAAATGTTTATTAGGTTTACTAGAAAGCCGTTTTACATGTTCGCGCGCTTCATCTACCTCTAGACGCCCATATTACTATGCTTCTGCAAATTACTATGCTTCTCTTCTCCCAATGCTTGGGAAGGGGGTTTCTATCCTTTCCAATGCAATTTGGTTTCAGGTTAACCCCACAAAATTTTCAAACGCGCTTTATATTTTAAACAACCTTAGTCTGCACGTTCCAGAAATAAAAGTAGAAAAGTTCCGAATTCGATGAATGGTTTTCGTTCTAACATTTCATGACTCAAATAAAGCAATGGGGGTAACAGAGACAGTTATTGTAGTACAAGACGGATATAATCGTCCCGTGAATGTGTGGTACAGTAAACCAAACACACACTGGGGCGCCTCCAAAACACCCGTCACATATACGACGCAAAGGCAAAGTACCCCGGGTGAAGCCCACGGGTGTGGCTGGTGAGGTACTGAGGGGTTACGGTGTCACACATTCACGGGACGTTGGAATCCCTCTATTTATTGTACCTAATTCGTGCCACGTGCGGAAGTGTCTATACAAAAACAGAATCGTTAACTTTGGTTTAGCATTTCCGCATTGTTTTGTGAACGCGACATTTTCTGGACAATCTATTGAAATGGTTTACATCAGACAATCATTCTTAAAAATGAAATCGACCTTGTATAGGTGCCGCTCGCCGGTTTGAAACCAAACTACTATCACGTGCCTCAGAGGCGGTTCAAATCTCATTCGGATATCTGTGTGATCTGAAATGTAAGTAGAATATGCGTACTTACAGTCTTTCCTGGAAGTTCATATTTCATATAAATCACACTACTAACTGTTGCTCTTATGGTGATCACTTTTGGTGAGACATCAGTGGACTACAAGTACGGAAATATCTGTAAGCAACGATAACTCAGTCAGGGATTCGATTTCCTACCTCAGAACTAGTCTCCGCTAGTGATACGTGTTACTCAGCTTCTATAATAGATAAGCAAAGTAACAGATTGTTGTATGAAATGTGTTTGTGATGCCATTAACAAAGGGATGCCTTGATTATTCAATCAGAACCTCGAAACTTGTTGAAATATCAAAAACAATCGACACCTTCTAGGTGCTGACTTTTCGCTGGAGTCCGGAAAAGCTAGTGAACTATCGTTCAAAGATTTCGAGATTATGGCAAACGGTTCAAGATGCAAGGATGAGCGGAACTCTCATGAAGAATGCTGATAACTCCCGACCGACGAGTTTGGGTAGTCTAATATCTCCAGTTACTCGGAGCCTATCGCTCAAATTTCTGGATGTGAATAGGAAATTAAACATGAGTTGTGCAACGCTGCATTGGAATTTTAGGACCGAACAATGCTCTATCCATACCCATTCGAAACTTACATTGTTATTTTCCATACCCTTACCTTTCCTTTCCTTTTCTCAGTCCTAGAGACGTTATTCTCTCATTGTTGTTTACGCATCACACACTACACTACTGTTACCGGACTTTCTCTGAAATGCATCATGTGATCACTTTTCTTTCCTAGTTCCTGGTTTAGATTAGGTTGTCGTTGGTGAAAAAACGAGTTTTGTTCACAGGAAAAAAGAAGTTGAGTGAATACCAGAGCGATTCACGGGTACTCGACGCAGTCATCTTTAGAGCCGATGCATTCCTGCCTGCAGCATGACTTAAAAAGACGTGTATATCGAAGTATTTTCGTGGGAATCATGCAAATTATAGAAATCGCAGGGAGATCTCGTGTAAAAATAAAAAATCAGGGTTTTCTCCCAGGTGACAAAACGCGTTTTTTTCACCTCACATATCTCGTGAGTTAATGTTACTGCTGAAGAAGCAGTAGCAAAACAAACAGTAAACAGTTCTCGTGGAAGCTCCGATTAGGCGCAGAGAAACTGGTCCCTTTTTTGTAAGCGTTAAAACTGCACATATCTTTTGAATTATCATTTGTGTCCACTAAAATTTGTGAATTTATTTCAACTGTTCTACCACACGCTTGTGATTACCCATGTAATACAGATATTCGCAGGTTTCCCCGATTGGTAAAGGTTGTCTGCCTGTGATTACTCCAATGCACACGTGTGCCTCTAATATTGAGATTAGCTAGTCATTCCCAGCTAATATGTATGGGAACTGAAGTCTATTTTTGTGAATGCAGTGTTTGTTAAAAGTACTATCTCACTGAGCTAACTGTAATCGTACTTCAAAAAGTGTCTAATTTACAGAAATAGGTAAATGACTAGGAGATAGTGGAAAAGTATCTTTGAGGGAGACATAGTTAAATAATAAACAAAAATACCAAAAGATGTCTATCATTCCTCTCCTGATTCTTACATGGTCTGTACATGGTTGTTCATTGTTGCTTCTCGTCACATTGCTGTAATGAATTGTTATTGATATTGTAGTGATACGTTAAGAGATGTACATGTACTGAATGAACATAAATAAATAAGCACAAACAACAACTGTTTGCCAACTTTAACCTCCATGAAGTTACCCTCTTTACTACTTTGAGTACACAGTACTGAATAAGTATACTTAGAGGTACTGTTCTACTATTACAACCCCAAAAACTCAAAATTTTAATTTTCGA